ACCCTGTCCTGGACAACCTTCTGTGCGTTCAGGTCCCTCCTAGAATGCAACTCCCAGAGCTAAGCATTGAGGGAGTGACACCGGGATCGGGCCTGGCGAAGAGCATCAGTTGAAACGGAACACAAAGTCCCTGCTGTTCTGGAAGGCCGGGCTCCAGCGAGGCCCTGACTTACGTTTCCTTCAAATGCATCCACAGGGGGCTGTTAGGAAACCAGGGGCAGACGCTGGCCGTTTTTTGCATGCGTTGTTTTTTTGTTTCTTTATAACCCCTTTGGCCAACGTGGGTCTTGTGTGGAGTCCCAGGTATGGCCTTTGGACTCTGAGCTCGTGCCAAGTACCAGAACGGCGATCTGTGAGCTAGGAACCGGGCCAGCTCATTTGAAGCGCATTACATCAGACGTTTCCTGAGGCGGAGAGGAAGGCCTCCTTGCTAGAAAGCAGGGAGGATTTTGGCTCTTGGAGATTGGATTCAGTAACCTGAACTCGTTGGCTGAGGCCCAAGCCTCTAGCAAGCAGCTATCATATGGTCTGCAAAAAAAATCCAGATCCAGGGCCTCCCGCCCCCACTCTCCCTGCTGTCACCGCGGCCTTCTGTCAGAAACACACGCTTTGGGAGGGGCAGGGACAGCTTTTAGAAAAAAGAGAGACCCTATAAAATCTGGTTAAATGTTTATAAGAGGTTAGATAGATTTTTATAGGAGATTTTTTGAACTCTTACTAACTTTTGTCATTCTAAATGCAGGGCAGTAGGTAGGGGGAATGCCGACTTTGGAGTGGAAAATTGTACCACCTGAATTAGCATTCTATAAAAAAAAATATGCTGTTCTCTATCACTTTCTTTCTCTTTCAAGTTGAATAAAATCATAGAATGTTGCCGAAACCGGTTTGGCTCAGTGGATAGAGCATCAGCCTGCGGACTGAAGGGTCCCAGGTTCGATTCTGGTCAAGGGCATGTAATGTAGTTGCGGGCGCATCCCAGGTAGGGGGTGTGCAGGAGGTGGCTGGTCGATGTTTCTCTCTCATCGATGTTTCTGACTCTATCTCTCTCCCTTCCTCTCTGTAAAAAATCAATAAAATATATATTTTTTTAAAAATCATACAATGTGCAGTGCTAGCTATGTTGGTGTTAACTATTCAACTTGTAAATCGGCTCTCACAGTAGTGTTTCTGTTAACTTCAGAAATCGCCTCTATACTCTGTAGACGGTTAGGAGCCCTGTGGGCCAATGCCTCTGTGTTCAGTAAAAACAGCACAGAAATGGCTTTTAAAAACTAATCCCTAACACGGAGGCCCCAACAGCCTCCCCTCTGAATGCTTATCATCGAGTCCTGGGGTGGAAATGAAGCTGCTCAGAGTGGCCTTAGGATCCGTGAAAGAACCAGGTACAATAACTCCGCCTCTGGGGGGTTATGATGTCTGATACTCTTCACACCCTCAAAATACAGAGCTGTGTTTAGGTTTTTCAAAATTTTATTGACTGAGACTCAGGAGAGAGGAGTGCCAAAGTCAAGAGTAAAACCCAAGTCTTCCGACAGGCCGATGCTTCCTCAGCCCCCTCCCCCGTCACAAACTGAGGGGGGCAGTGTGCCCGGGCCGGGGCAGGGATGGACAGAGAGCCTGAGGAACGAGACCCAGAAAAGTGCTGGGGTGTGTGACCCTCCTGTCATCTAAACTCCGCGTCCTCGGATTCAAGTCTGGATACCTCATCTCCTCTTTTGGGAAAAGCGATCTGGTACTATCTGATCCCTCCCCGAAGGGCGCTGGAGGAAAATGTGAAATATTTATGCCGTGCTTTAGGTTTCAGGGGAAGGGATGTTCCCGCCGCCTACGGAAATTGGAAATGGATTCCGGCACACCCAGGCGTTTAATCGGCTCATCCGAGGTGGCACACCTCCCTTGGGACCTGCCTGTGTGTGAAAAACCTACAGATGACGCGCCTCCATGGGCCACGGTTCCTGTGTACCTGAGAAAGGAGTGATGCCTTATGCACGTGGCCAAGAAGGAAAAGACAGGGGCGAGGAGAGAAGAGGCGGTGGTGCAGAGTGGCAAGGAGGGGAGGAAGGGAGGCCAGTGTAACTGACAAGCCTGGGAGCCCGAGCTGCCAACCTGCAGGCCGTGGGCACCCCTGCCGCCCGCCTCCCCTGCAAGAGGAACCTGAGCCTCGCTGGCCAGGACTCGCCGAGAACTGCGCCAAGCTCTGCTGGGCCAGGTCCTCTCAGTGACAGGACGGTGGGGTGCAGAGCTGTTCACTTGGCACCCTTCGCCATCCCCAAGGTCACTGATGAAATATTAAGCTCATCCTGTGCTCATGGCTCCATGAAGATGATCAGGAGTGGAGGGAGGCCAGGGCGAGGGGCACTGATCTCACACACGGAGAAGGGCCAGCCCGGCCCAGTGCACATGCTACGGCCACACCAACACGAGGATGCAGCCGGCTTGCATTTCCTCTCTGCTTCAAAAGATTTTCCTTTGCACACTGTCAGCTCTTATTCCTCAGGGACCCACAGGGACAGGCTCCCGGGGCCATCAGGGGCCATTTGGACAGCGTTCATGTCACGATATGCAATCATGTACTGGAATTACACAAACTCTAAAGAGTGGGATAAAATGTTACCGGTTACACGGATGAAAATGAAACTGACAACAGCCACAACACAAATCCCAGAAAACAAAGAGAAATCTCTATTCACAGGGACACTTGACAATGAAAAAAACAAACAAAAGGTGGCAGCCAATGTCCTGGCGTGCTGCAGTTCATGGCCGTCTTTTCAGAAACTCCCAGCTGTTTGGGGGAAAGAAAGTGCGGTTCTCACGTCCGATGTAGTTCTCACAGAAATCGCTCCTCATGTGTGAAAAAAAAAAAAAAATGCAGAGGACAGGCACGCAGCTTGCTCAGATCACTGTGGCGTCTGAAGAGTCAGACTTCCGACTCTTCGAAACAGATCTGGGTTGTGGGAAAGGAACCTGGCTGGCGACATGAGGCCAAGAGGGCCAAGGAAGAAACACTCGACTGTCAATGCGGAAGAAAACCATCAAGAACTAGAACAATTAAGAATGAAATATTTTTTTTTTCTACTCTACTTTGAAGCTGAATCCCAGCTTTTCGTATTTGGAAAACATAGGTGGCTGGTCTCTGGGTAGAACCTCTCTCTCTTGCCCGGTCCACCCTCCCTGCTCCTGACCCCATAGATCAGCGTTGGGGTGTGGGTATTGCTGGTTCAATTTTCTTGAAGTAGGATCACCATTTCTTTACATGCGGCCATGCCTCCTTCTAACAATGAGGTATAATTTTAGACTAACAATGCCTTTCCTTCCTGGGCTATGGGCTTGATCAAATTGTGTGAGCAGGAAACAATTCAACTTTCTGATAAAACCATACACAGACAAAAATCATTGCACTTGAAAACAGCAACAAGAAACTCAGCCCAACCAGAGACGGGCCAGCAAAACTGTTGGGAAGGGGCTGTGCTTCCTGCTCTCCGCAGAGCGTCTGGACCTCTGGTGTTCCGTTGAATTTGGTTTGTTCTTAAGTGTCCAGAAGTGAAAGAGTCCAAAAGACACTGTAGGCTCTTTAAGGCTTAGTCTTCCCGGTGCTTCTATAAGATACACCATCTTGTTGACCACATATTATAAAGCAGGGGTTCCTCTTGGCAAAATGGCTAGCAGAAGCCCCTCCACACTCTGGAAGCAAGGGAGGATGGGCGCACACCGGGTCCTGTCCTGCGAACGAGAGAAAGAGAAACAGTAAGCAGGCTGGGAGGGCAAAGCTGCCCATCAACAGCCCTGTGACCGGAAGTACAGTCCCTTCCTCTGACTCCACCACTCGCTCTCATTACATTCACCCTACAGCCCGGGCAGACGTGGGTTATCTGTGCTGCCTTCTCTGTGTAGTCCTACTTTCTGTGGATATGAACCTCTTTCCCTCTACCTGCAAATTTGTCTCTCTTTCCATATTCCTTTAAAAAAACAAACACAATTTTTTGTTGATTTCAGAGAGAAAGAAGGTTGGAGAGAGGGATAGAAACATCATTGATGAGAATCATTGATTGGCAGCCTCCTGCATGCCGCCCCCCCTCCCGCCCCCCACATTGAGGATCAAGCCTGCAACCCATGTGCCCTGACCAGGAATCTAACCGTGACCTCCTACTTCATAGGTTGATCCTCTACCATTGAGCCACAACAGCCGAGCTCTCTTTCCTTATTCTTTATCCTTCCTGCCTCTTTGTGCTTTTTGTCTTTTTCTTAATGGATATAAAGGTACGAAGAAGCTAGTTCAATCCTGCTACTCAGCGGTCCATATACTACTTCTTCCACTTTTCTCCCACAATGCACCCTGTCCTTTCCCACCCAGTCCATGGTCCTGCCCGTTTAGTACATTCAGACACAGTCCATACTTGACTTACTGAGTGGAATGGGCAGTTTACTTACTACTTGAGCCAATTACTTACACAACTAAAATATGACCTTGTGTTAAAAATTTGAGCACATGACATTGACTATGTTACTAACGTATTCAAGGCGTTCTCAAGTAAGTGCTTATAATAGGTAAGATCAAGGTGTTTCTAGACTCTGCTATCCTGAACTACTGTCAATATTTTATTATTTGGGTTGTTCACTCCAGCTCATGTCTTCTTTGTAGTCCTTTTATGACCCTTTTGTAATCAATAAGCTACTTGCACAAGATGTCTACATAAATAGGGTGGATGATACTATCCTGATGTTACAGGCACAGAGCCAAAATCAGAATAACTTAAGGTTCAGGGTGGAAGGGTTAGAGGTCAAATGATCATGAGCTGCCAAAGTGCCTTCATGCCACGCTCACCAACCAAGGCCTACTGAAACACTAAGATCTGCTACAGTGCCCATCTCACCCTGCGCCCACCTCCCCTGGCCACCTCTGTGGGGTCAGAGTCGAACAAGTGGCTGCTGCTGCCTTTCGTTGTGGCCCATCCTGTCCCTCCCTCGAAGGGCACTTCCCTACTCACTGCTCCGGATTCCGACTAGGACTTGCTGACATTCTCGTAGATGACGTCACTGATGCAGAACTGCTGCTTCTTCTTCGTCCATATCAGCTGCACGCACTGATGGATGAAAATGTACTGCTCCTGCAGCAGAAGCAGGCCATGTGTCAGAGAGAGATGTTTTTTGTACAGATATGTGCAGAGATAGCGTGTTGATACGATGACATTGTGAAATATTATGATCTGATGTCTAAAGAAGACATTTTTATTAGGTAGGAGACAATTTTGTAACTAGAAATACCAAGAGAATCAACTGGAAAAATATTTTGAATAATAATAGAGCTAAAGGCAATAAATATTCAGTGTATATCTGATGGACTATTTTGAAAAAAAAAAAGTCTATCACCTCACTACACCAAAATAAATGCCAAAATGTTTAATAAATTAAACTTATAGAAATATAAAGGAAAATATAGATTAATTCCTCTCTGATTACTTTATGAAAGGATTTTCTCAACTTCAAAGCCATGGAATAAATTAGGAATAAAACTTTCAACCTACTGTAGGTTTTCTTTTAAAAGTGAAAAGGATAATATAAAGGGAAAACTAGAAACTGGAAGGAAAAATATTTTCTAGAATTATTACAATGTTTATGCCTTTATTTTTGTTTAAAATTCAAAGCAGTAACAAACACTTACATGGACAAATATATAAATAAAATACATTGACCACCAAACCAAATATTCTTGGAAGGTGTGGATTATGTGTTTTTTACTTCTAGTGCCTATAAAGTGTTTTTGAAGGAAACTGAAGAAATATTAAAACATATGCAAAAAATGGCTAAGTAAAAATGTAAATTGTCTCTCATCTATAAAGTGACCAAAGCTAAAGAAAAAAGTAATAATGATGACAACTTTGTTGAAGCAGTCATTTTTAGGTATTGTTAGTGTAGGCATAATTCATAAAGTGCTAAAAATTTCATTGTGAACACAGATAATAGTAATAAAGTGGAAAAGAATCCAATTTAATATCCTGTACAAAGAAGAATGGTTTAAGTAATCAATGGTATATCTATAATAAAACATCCAGTCTCTAAAATGAAATTTATATAATTTTGGGCAATTTGGGATAATACACATAGGAAAATATTAAGTGGATAAAGTATAATTGTGTGAAAGTTATTCTTAAAGGAAGGCGAGATGAAATATGCTGAAATATTGAGAGTAGCTGTTTTTTAACATAAAACAAGGTAACATCATGATCTTTCTCTTTTTTCTTCATTTCCCAGAGTGTCTCCATACAGAATACCATTAGAAATAACCTTTCCATAGGAACCAGTCAAGATGTCCACAGAATCTTGAGCATTTTTTATGACAACTTTATACAAAGGGTAAGGTTAAGACTTCGAACCTCACTGGATTGATTCTTCAGCCTTACCTGGATTTTTCAATGAGATTGAGAGAAAATATAGGCCCTTATTTAGTTGAGAAATAGTATCTCATCAATAACTGAGCTACCCCTCACTCCTTATTGCACATCACCCCATTGCTTCTAGGGCTGTGTCAGCACTGGGCCTAATAAGGCAGACACCTGGTCACCTGCTTTCTCAACCCAAAACTAATCAGTGGCCAAACTTTGCCTCAAAAAAGAAAAAAAAAAAAGAAAAGAAAAAAAAAGTGGCCAGACCACAGGAAAAGTAAATAAAGACTCTTTATGGGCAGGTCCCTGAGGTCCCTGAGAAATCTAAGTTCCAATCAGGACAGGCTACAAAAGCAAAGCCCTACCTGCCCTCCAGCGAAAGTTCTTCCCTAGAGGAAAATCAAACAAAGCATTTGATAAAAATAGAAGAGAGCCCCAGGCAGGCGCATGTCCTCCCCACATGGCACTTGGCAGTTGGAAGCACTTCACTACATCCGTCATTTCACAGAAAGTGAACATTGTCACTCACAGTTTACAGATGAGGATTGGAGCTTGAGAGGTGGTACGAGTTGTGCCGTGGCCATGCGGGACCCGGCCTTCTCCATGGGCTGGCCTGACAACCCTCCTCTCTTTACCCTTTGCTGCTCTGGGGAGCGGCCATTGGAGGGAGGGATGGTGGGTCAGGGGGAGGGGGAGTCAATGAGACAGGGGAAGAGGGCATGCTAAAAATAGCCCTTGCCACAGGCTGTGTGCATCTGAGGACATGACCAACACAATCAGTTACTTCTACTCTTTGCATTTATTTGTTTTTAGGGGAGAGCACAGCCTCTCACCCCCATGCACTTTCTGCTTTTGCAGGAGGACTGGAAGTACTTAACTATTTTAGAAGGGGGTTGGGTGATTGAATCCAGGTGATGGGCAGTAACGGTCCATGGGGAGAAGCCTGGTACACAATATAGGCAGGTGGTCCATAGACATATACTGAGCCAGAGATCAGCTGGGGATTATCCCCGCCTCTTGGAAATAGTGTCACAGGGTGCCCCAGGATGAGAAAGCTGAAGAAAACCGTGTTCCCCTCTGCTCTTGACTTATTCATGGCAGCAAAGCAGAAGGCAGCAGGCCTGGGGTGTGAATGGGCTCAAGGTCGGAGGATGCTAGGAAAATCCTAACATTCAAAACACAGGCTGCATCGCAAAGAGGGCAACACCGAGGAACAACAAAGAGAAACGGACAAGATGTTGCAACACAAATAAAGAGCGGAGCTAGAGAAGACCTGCTGCAAAATCCCGAGGGAACTCAAGAAGGAAGCTGGAGCGGTTGGGGAAAATAAGTAACCCGGGCTGACCTCGCCTCTTCTGCTGACTTTGCATTTTCCCACCGGAGTGCAGAGAAGGGATATCGTCCTTAGAAAAGACTGCTTCCCCAGAGAGAGCAACTTAAAATGCTGCTGTAAACCAAGAAGCCAAACACCCAAAGTTTGGGGCAGGAAAGTTCGGGGGAGAACAACATTTTTCTCAGCCTTGCGGTGATGCACATGGCCGCCCTCGTGCTGCAGGATGACCACACCTGGAGGAAGATCTTGGCGTGGAATCAGATGGAGGGTCTGCCAGGGGGAAGGTAGCATTTAAAAAGGGATTAGGGTTCTGTCCTGGGAAAGTCAAAAGCCAACAGGCTATAATCAAAGTTCTAAAAGCTTTAAATTAGGTCACTGCGGCAGACAACTGATCAAATCCAAAATACTTAAAATAAGGGGCAGCCCTTTGAAGCTGGGGATTAATGCACACATGGGGAGTTTCAGTCACCTATTAGGATGTATACATTTATGGAAGTGAAAGGCAAACATATGGACCGATCCATGAAGCACTGTTTACTCATTAGATAGTAAGGCTTCTCTGGGAAACCAGGGCACTTTAAACAAGGCCACGTCCATGTCCCCACAGCAGTAAAATCCAAGGCAGCAGGGCTGGGGAGGGAGTGGGCTAAGGAAGCGAGGACACATGCGTGAGTACTTCCTCATCATTCGTGAGAGCTCGGTGGCATGATCCTGCTTTGGCTCAGAAAGAAACACACTGGAACGGCTGTGCCAAGCCTTGCTCAGATGGCAGTGGGGATGTAGGAGAGAGAAGTCAAAGGGATGGTGAAGGAGACCTTCCCGCCCCACTCCCGCCCCAAGCCTTGAGACTTAAGACATTACTGCAGGCTTTTGAGTTATACTGACATCTAGTGGTGATTCGCATGAATAGCATGAGGAAGACTGAGGCGCATTCGATCCCTTGGAACTAGAGTAAGAAGTCTGGCCAGGATGTGTTCTACTCTGTCCCACCCACACAAACGCCTTCAGAAAAAAGAGATGACTCTACACCTGAAGCTGAGAAGCTTCGGGTAGGGCTGGGTAACTAGGACTATAAACAAGTGATGATGCTTGATTTTTTGAGGCCCACGCAGGTGCACACCCACTGTGGCTGTGAAGTGGTGTGAGACTGTCTGCTGGCCCCAGGCTGCATGTGCATTCCCAGGCTTCTAGGGGGGGTGGGACAGGGGAGATGGATGTTTCTAGGGATGCTGCCATGTTGTTTCAATGCTAAAGCCATTTACTTAGGTCTAGGGAATTGGAAGTGTTGGTAGGTTAGGATCCTTAAAATCATAAGGGGGACAGGAAGTGTGAGTTCCATCCCTGATCATTATCTAAAATGAATTGGGACAGAGACTCACTCGGTGGACAAACTAGTGACACACTTTTGAATCAAATCTAGCATTTCAAATGCAGGTGAAATCACATCAGTCCCACAGTGTCCACTCGGTGGCATTTCCCCTGATTGGCTGCCCTGAACTCTCACTTTGTTCAAAGAGGTTTTAGTCCATTATGGATAGATCCTTGTGTAGACAGCGCTTGGGAAGGCACATGAGCATTTTCTTTAATTATCATCAGCTGAACTCAGGGCGATAGGCAGAGCCACACCCTGGAAACATGTTTCTCCAATAAGGCTGGACATATTATCAGTTCTGACTTCATATCAGCCCAGGTGTCGCAGGGGCGGGACTAGATATGTAAATTTAGACATACTAGGGCCTATTTAAGAATGCAAATAAGTTAGTGATACTTCCTGGTATTGGAGATATAAAATAAATGTGCTGGGAGGGGACAGGGTCTTGTCGTCCTGTCCTGCCTCTTCATCAGAGAGGATGGCGTCCCACCCAGCTCCCAGCTTAAAAATCTATCTGTGCATCTTCTTTCTTTCTATTATTTCTCAATCCCTGGCTGCCTCCACTTACAACTGGTTTGTTCATCTCTCCGTGCTGGACACAGAAAAAGGGAGATCTGGCTTTTGCTGCACCAGGCCCCCGCATCCGTGTGCTCTAAATTATAAAGGGCACATGACACCAATAAAAGCACAAGCACTGTACACTGAACGGATTTTAGAAACAAATATCTATTTCTCCTGTACCTTGAAGCAGTTCGAATGTAACACAATAAGAAATTGGAAATAGCAGATGCAAGATTGAAACAGGAGATGAAATAATCGTAAGTTTTTTTTACAATCAAGGTCAAATTTATAGATTCCGATTGGTTACATCCCTACCTCTGTCTGTACCATGGACATCCGGTATGACCTCATTTCTGACACCAGCCCTAAGATGTCGACAAACTCGTGCTCCCGAATGTGCTGCAAGAGCCTGTCCAGGGCGATGAACGTTCCTGTCCGGCCGACGCCAGCGCTGCAAGAGCATGCAGACAGTACGTTACGCACACCACGCTCCCACACAGTGGGAGACAGATTGGCGATTAAAAAACAAAGTAGGAAGCACCACTGAGGAAAGAGGGAAGACAAAACTCCTGAGAATATCTTCCACGTCATGTTAACCATGCAATTGTGGTTGGTGTGTCTTCTAATATCACATTTGACTATCACTGCTACTGCTCTTAAAGAGGCATGGGTCTGGCCTGCTCAGAGTGACTCGGTTGGTTGAGTGTCATCCTGTGCACCGAAAGGTTGCTGGTTCAGTTCTTCATCAGGGCGTATACCTGGGTTTTGGGTTTGATCCCTGGTTGGGGCACGTATGGAAAGCAACCACTCAATGTTTCTTATCTCTCTCACTTCCCATCTCTCTCTCTCTCTCTCTCTTTCTCTCTCTCTCTCTCCTTTCTCTTTAAGAATGTCCTCAGGTGAGCATTAAGAAAAAAAGAGGTATTGGTCTGCACTAGTCTGAGCCACACCTCTCTCTCCTCCACCTGGAGCTCTCTGCTTCCTGAAAAAGTGAAGAAGTGCCCATGGACCTGGCAAGAGAGTTGGTTCCTTCCCTCGGGGAGCCAGACACATAAACAATTTCAGTCTTCTGAGTAGCCTCAGAGTTAAGCCTCACACCCAGCTCAGAAGTCTAGCTGAGATGCCCACTCCTTAGCTCCAGCTCTGGGCAAGACCAATTTGTGTGCCTTCAACCCTGGGTTGAGTTCACCATTCAGACCTTCCTTACAGCACATCTCCCTTCCAGTGAGTTCTAGGTCTGCTCTCATCCCTCAGTAATCTTATAGGGATTGCCTCAAAATCAAATTTAACATTTGGACCTCATTCATTACAGCCCCCAAATCCTAGTGCCCAGAGAGAGTAGAGGGAAGTGGAGTGATCTGTGCTGACCAATTGCCCAGCACAGTTGTACATGTTAAGTCAGCCCTTCTTTTCTTCCAGTCATGCAGATGGCAGGGCAACATGTTTCCAAACTCTGAATTATCATATGTGAGAAAAGAGGAAGCCAAAATTGATTTCTATGCAGAACTTGCTGGGAGAGAAATCCAACAGTAAAAACTAGTAGCTTAGAGTCCTAGTTTGCCTTTTGTTCTGGACAACCCTTCTCACCCAGGACTTATTTTATGTTCTGCCCCTGAGTGAACACCTGAAAAGTCACATCCAGAACTGTCCCTGCTACCTGCTGTGAAAGGGACTGTGAGTTTGAAAACACAGTTGAGCAGCTTCACTTTCGGCTCTTGGAAGGAACCATTGGAAGACTAGATCATTTTCATCTGGTGAAGCAAAGTTTTTAACCTGTGAATGCCTATGATGGACCGACAGCAAGGGTCCTCTCCCTGATCAGAAACTTGACAACTTTTGAAGCAATTTTCTGTGCAGGGAGACACATCCTCTTCTCTCTCTCTCTCTCTCTCTCTCTCTCTCTCTCTCTCTCTCTCTCACACACACACACACACACACACACACACACACACACCCTACTCATTTTAGTTCACAGAGGCCCAGGTGCTAGGTAGGTCCAGGATTATAGATCTACTAGAGGCCCAGTGCACAAATTCGTGCACGGGTGGGGTCCAGCCAGCATGCCCTGGTTAGGGCTGATAAGGCCAGGCTGGCTTGGAAGAGGGGACGTGGGCCTTTGGCTTGCCAGCCCCACCCTCAATCGAGTGTGTGTGGGGGAATCAAAGGGAGGGCAGCCAGGGGATAGGGCCATGACCCCACCTCCTGGTCAAACTCCCAATAGAACTCCTGGTCAAGGGGACAATTTGCATGTTAGCATTTTATTATATGGGATTTGCTTATGTTGACGTGGCTGCCAATGCTTCCTCTAAGATCTTTATCTTACTTCTCTGACATACAACATGAGCATGTTTATAGCCCCTGCTCTTCAGAGATTGCATAAAAATTTTACAATATGTCACACCAATGGATTTTGGTGAAGCTTTGCTCACTTGGTAGGAATAAAGCTTAAATTCAAAGATAACTCCTCAGTTTAAGAATTAACAGGGTCCTCGATTTTTGCTAATATAGTAGGTCATAAGGACCCCTTTCAGTTGAACTGTCTGGAAATTTAAAGGCAATTTTGAAGAGCAATCATAGCAACTCTGTTTATCTCAATGTGCTGAACGTTCTCATTTCTCCTTTCCCTCACCTGGCTTTTATGTCTGTTTATATTATTTGGGGCTGTGGTTAGCTATTTTTATAATAACTTGACCTTGCATTTGGCAATGTTATAAACCACTCAGAGTCCTTGATAGGATCGGGGAAGACCGTGCAGTGCTTAAAGTCCTGGCTGTGGAGAATTCCTGAACCCCAACTCCTCCAGGTTCCAGTTGCATAAACTTGTGTGAACCCCTTAACTCTCTACGCCTCAGCTTTTTTCATTTTAAAAGGAGAACAATCATATTTATCTTAGGGAATATAAGATGGCCATATCATAAGTAAATAACGTGTCTATGAAGACATTTGTTAATAATAAATTTTTTTTAAAAAATCATAATTCATTTTATTAATTCAATCTGATCAGGAGTTAATGGACTGATGGACTTTTTTCTGTCTTTCTTTTTTTTTTTAGTATAGTTTTGTTAAGCATTCTGATATTTATTTTTAAATTTTTATTATTATTATTAATAATATATTTTATTGATTTTTTTATATAGAGAGAGAGGGATAGAGAGTTAGAAACATCAATGAGAGAGAATCATCAGTCAGCTGCCTCTTGCACACTCCCCACTGGGGATGTGCCTGCAACCAAGGTACATGCCCTTGACCGGAATCGAACCCAGGACCCCTTCAGTCTGAAGGCCGACACTCTATCCACTGAGCCAAACCGATTTTGGCAAAATTTTTATTATTGAAAGTATAACTGTCCTCTTTTTCCTCTCATTGACCCCTGCTAATCCCCCCTCCCCCTTAGTCTTCACCACCCTATTATCTGTGTCCAAAGGTAATGCATAAACACATATAAATTATTTGGTTAATCTTCTCCCCCCTCCCCCCAATTCCCACTGAGATTTATTAGTCTGTTTCATGCTTTTATGTCTCTGGACCTATTTTGTTCAGCAGTTTATTTTGTTCATTAGATCCCACAGATGAGTGAGATCATGTGATACTTGTCTTTCTCTGACTTACTTATTTCCCTTAAACAAAACCAAGGTCGCGGTGCCTAACAGAACTGCGTTTGATGATGTTACCTGCAGTGCACGATCATGGGGCCTCTGCTCTTGGTGGCTCGCTGTCGGACCACGTGCACAAACTGCAGGATGCTTTCTGCAGCGTTGGCTGTGGGCACACCGTGATCAGGCCACGCAGTGTAGTTAAAATGCGTCACGTCCTGCATCTCGTCCGCCTGTAGGAGAAAAAGGCAAAGTGAATATTAACCTCTCAGCTCCATGGCAGGACAGCCCAGGCCGCCCCTGCAGCTCACAAAGGAATGGCATGGGAAGGTAAAGCCACATTCCACGCCTGGTCTGAATATTGTGTTTGATCTGAGCATTGTGTTTGGCCCAAAGCAGGACCTGGAAAAAACATACTAATGTATAAAGCTTCAAATAGTAGGATAAATGGGCTAACCCTTTGCAGAGATAAGAGTTTAAACAGATTCGGGTTTGCATCCTAGCAACTGAGCAATTGCATTGGCTTTGGCGAATGAGTTAAACATGGTGCTCCTTGGGTTCCCCTTCCCAGCACAGAGCTGTACCCTTCTCAGAGATGCCCCCACCCAGGGGAGCTGCCTTTCTGGAAAATGCCCAAGACCTTGTGTTCTCCTGCTCCAGGCATTCCGCAGCTAACCAGTGGCTGATAACAGGGTACGAAAAGCCAGCCTCATTATGGCAGGTGGGACAACTAAGCCTGCAGTGCCATTCATACCCCAACACCCTCCCTGCGACCTTGCTGATGCTAGACTTCAGCTGAACTCATAGCTGTGTGAGACTTCTTCCTTGTTCTGTCTTATCCTGCATTTTTCTTATTCCCGAACTCACCTATTTAACCATCCCCATCTTGGTCTCTGAATCTAGTAGGCTAGACCCAAGGTAAACTCACCGATACCAGTGTTCTCATATCTAAAAAGCATCTTTTCAGTCCTAACCAGTTTGGCTCAGTGGCTGGAGCACTGGCCTGCAGACTCAAGGGTCCCAGATTTGATTTCAGTCTAGGGCATGTACCTTGACTGCAGGCACATACCCAGTAAGGAGTGTGCAAGAGGCAGCTGATTGATGTTTCTAACTCTATCCCTCTCCCTTCCTCTTGTAAAAAAATCAATGATATATTTAAAAAAATAATAAAAGGGTCTTTTCAGATGTTCCAGGTTAACCTCATCTGTAACAAGGGGATACAGTGTGCTCGTTTGTGAAGGACAGTACCTGTAAGCTATTGTTATCGTCATCACTTCTACATCATTTCTACCACTCATTGCAGCAGCCCAGGGCAGTTAGATGGTTGCTTCTGGGAATCCTGGTACAGGGGTATGTTTTATATATTTGTCCTGTTCAGATTAAGCCATAGGTCAACTCTACAGGTGTGGACCAAATTAGGTTTACGGTGCCACTTGACATCCTTTGGAGTTAATGGAGCTATTGTAATAACCATAACCTGCAAGTCTTTTTCCATATGAACAACTGTAAACCTACTTTTGCCCACCCCTGGATTGTTCCCTGAACTGAGCAAATGTTGATTAGGATGTGGATCCTTCAAGAGTCACTCTTTTTAGTCCTCACTAACTTATCAGCAATAGCATTTATTTTGCTCTTGTTATCAATATTCCAAACCCAGGCCTCACAAGGAACGAATCATCCCCCTTCCCTCAAACTTGGCCAGAGCCTCTCACCCACTGAGTGAATGAAATACTCTATCATCATTTGGAGGAGTTTGGCCTGGCTATGAGTTTGGAGCTAAAGTTTAGGTTCAGGTATTAAAGAGAAATGAATTCTAAAGAGTCAGTGGTCTTGGGTGGAGTAAAATTTGTATAAATAGAAATAAATGCATAAATGAAGTAGAAAAACATATATAATAAGATTTGTGTTGCCGAAACGGGTTTGGCTCAGTGGTAGAGCGTCGGTCTGTGGGCCGAAAGGTCCCAGGTTCGATTCCAGTCAAGGGCCTGTACATTGGTTGCGGGCACATCCCCAGTGGGGGGTGTGCAGGAGGCAGCTGGTCGATGTTTCTCTCTCATCAACGTTTCTAGCTCTCTATCCCTCTCTCCTCCTCTCTGTAAAAAGTCAATAAAATATATTTAAAAAAATGATTTGTGTAAACATAATGAAGTCAGCACTTACTAAATCCTTTGTCACCTCAGCACCTAAGGGCCATATACTGCCCTCCCCTATCCTCCCCCCTCCTCCCCCCTCCACCCCCCGGCTATATTCAGAGGCTCCCTCACTGTGGGTTCTCTCCTAGACACACGGAAACGGAAGTCTACAAAATGCTGGCTGCCATCGCTGCTGTCTACAATAAATATGGCAAGAAAGTAACTCAAGTATAATCAGATGTGCATAATTACTCAACACCGAGAGGATTTAAAGATACTCAATCACTAGATATTTTTAGTTGCCCAGAAAAGTTCATGGGAATGCTCATTCTTTTCAAATGCTGATGGCAGGCTTAGCACAAAGATTTGAACAGTGTTACATATTACAGTTGACCTGAAAATGGATGCAGCTACCCTAGTACAATAGTCCAGATCCTTCAAAAATAGGAAGCACTTAAATCTGCCTCTAGCAGCAAGGCAGGGGACTTGGTATCAAGGTGACCCCTGCCAGCTGAACAGCAAGGTACACATCAAGGGACAGAAGGGGTTAGTGCTGCTGTTTCCCCCCCCCCTCCAATTCTTACTCAGTTCATGCCACGTTTGAAGTAGCGGAAAGCGACAGTTGTGAGTTATGGTCATTTTCCTCCTTCGGGTTACATCTTATTTAGACTTTCCAATTTTTTTTTTTTACCCTGATTTTATCCCTTATGTAATTTTACCTTGTTGTAATCTAAAAGTTCCCACATTTCAATATGGAGAGGATAAGGATGGCTGTAAACAAAAAATGAGATAAATAGAAAACTGTATTTATTACTACTGCACAACATTCTTCAACAATTTAACTTTCACCCAGGGAGCTTAAAATGTAGATTTTTGTCTTTTTATGACTCACAGGGGGCACTCTGGGGCCTGATGCTTATAAATACCGTATAAATACCTTACTAGGAAACATTATTGAACATTTTATTTCTATATTCTGAGTCCTTATCATGCTTGTCATTGAAAGGTCATCATTTAAGACCAAGGACAAGAAGCATAGTATTGACTATGCAACCATCTATGTTATCCTCTCCTGTCAAGGGAGCAAACCCTATTTTGTGCTCTACAATTTTTCTCCCCAAGGTGCAAATCTAGGAAAATATTTGTTCTGTATTTGTCTAATAGTTTTCAATGGCTTTCCCACTGAAATCACCAAGAAAGAAAGCAGAGTTCAAATTGCATTCAGATTGTCAAATATTTTCACTGATGGAAATCTATTGATGTTTTCCAAGTGCTTTATTATTTTTGAAATCATTCGTTCACTCACTGTTTTGTTCACCCCACAAAGATGCAGTAAGTGGAATTACAAGGATGATTAAAACAGGGTACTTGCTTCTAAAACTCACACTGGGGGAGGCAGACATGAAGCGAGAGAATTGTAATAATCTACAAGGTCCTGTGATGGAGGAATAGCCATGAAACTCAGAACAGAGGAGAAAAGGGACAAAGGTCCCATGAAACTAGGGAAGGTTAACAAAGGAAGTGACATTGGAGGTGAAACTGCATAGGAATGTGCTTAGGAAACAGGAGGAGGTGGGCATTTCAAAGCAATGGAGCTGCAAGAAGGACAGTCTCTTACTGTCATGTAGCGATTTGCCTAAATTCTCAGCATAGCCAAAGTTGCCATTGCTAACTACCTGCGGCTCAGACATGATTTATCTCTTCTAAATATCAATAAATGGGTAGTTAATGAATGTTTATGTTGTATGAACATGGACACTCTCTGATTACATTGTCTATATCAATAGTGAGCTAACACTTTCTGTGCAGGGCAGATGAGAGTATTTTAGATTTTGTAGGTCCTGCAGTCTCTGTTGCAACTACTCCAATTGGATGGGGCACAAAAGCAGTCACAGACAATATGTACACACATGTAGCTGTGCTGCCACAAAATGGTATCTATGGACACTGGCTTTTGATTATAGAATCACTTTTGGAGTGATTACGGATGTCTCATAGTATTTCATGTGAAATATCATTCTTGGTTTGATTTTTTTTTTTGAACATTTAAAAGGATAAAACTCATTCTTAGCTCACGGTATTTATGAAACAAAGGTGAATTTGGTCACAGCTGTTAGGAGGGTCTATTTCTAAGCAGCAAGTTTTTAAGGAGGACTCTCCTATTAAACTTGGTTCTCAGCATGAAGTGTTCAAGTGGAGAATAGGTTCCCTCCTATTTTCTGGGCTGTCTCACATGGAGAATACATTCTGCGGATGATGTCTGCATCTTGCCTGCACATGAACCTACTGCACATGCTCCAAGCCTGTCCTAAGAGAGGTGACGGGAGGAACAGACTGTGCTGACATCCTAGCAATCAGAAATCAATGGCATTTCAAAAGAGATGTGGAACCATGATTAATAGTGTCCTAGCTGGTTTGTTTCAGTAGATAGGGTGTCAGTCTGTAGACTGAAGGGCCTCAGGTTCAATTCTGCTCAAGAGCACATGCCTGGGTTGTGGGCTTGATCCCTAGTAGAGAGTGTGCAGGAGGCAGGCAATCAATGATTCTCTCTTCACATTGATATTTCTATCTCTCTCCCTCTCTGAAATCAATACAAATAAAAATGCCCTGAAGTACCTTTGAAATAATAAAAACCAAACCAGAACAAAATAAGGGGGAGAGGGGTGAAGCCAAACAAAACAAAACCCAAAGTACTAAATCATGGTTTAAGTTTTTAATTTAAAAGCTAAGTGTGCCTTACGTATGCTAATTATGCTCACATATGGACATGAAGGACAATCTGTTACTGTCATATAGGGATTGGCCTAAATTCTCAGCATAGCCAAAACCATTTGCTAACTACCAGTGGCTTAGAAGTGATTTATCTCTTCTAAATATCAATAAGTGGGTACTTAATGAATGCTTCTGTTGTATGGACATGGACACTTTTTGGTTCCATTGTCATATTAATAGTGAGCAAACACAGTATAAGTCATGAGAGCATGTCCCTCCTCAGTCAGGCCTGGGGAGCAAGGCCCACATGCTTTCTATTGCCCAGGGCTCACCTGCCACAGGCAGATCAGTCTCTCCCCATCCCCCGGGCCTTGCAGGCCAGCATTTCATCCCACCAGGTTCCATGACATGGGAAATAAGGATGTTGAAAGTGGGCTTTTCCTCTTGAAGGAAGAAGTGTTGCAAAGCCTGAAGTGCTCATGATCTTGTTGGGTAGTGGGTTGGTCTCCTGACACCTGGGTGGGGGGGAGGGGTTCCCTCAGCCTGGGGACAGCATCTGAACTTGTGCTTCGTGACTTACGTAGATGATCCGGAAGTGTCTGCAGGCCCAGTCATTCTGCTCTTCCTCCGAGACCATCTCCACAGTGATGTCTCCATAAGTGATGGGCTCTTCCGTGAACGGCCAGTAATGGTCACATTTCACCTGAGGTGGAAACCACACAATGTGTTCAAACAAACCATCCGGGGGAGAAACAAAGTCTGTGCCCCCTTAGAGAAAACAAGACAAGAGCACTTGTGTCTGAAGTGTACGTGACACGGTGAGCTGAAACAGGAAGCAAGAGCAGGTTCTGTGCGGGGTGAGCACTCCATTCACGGCGGTGGCTGGTGCGGGTCTTGCTGCTGAGTGGAGACAGCCCCGGAGGCACTTACCCTCCTCTTCTCATTGCACTGAGTGAGCATGACAATAATCTGAGACTTCTGCTGGAGGACCATCTTCCAGAAGTCATTTCTGGTTTCAGGCAGTGGCCCCTGGGTGGCAATATACTCCTGGGATGAGTTGTATCCCTGAAAGGTAAGTGGCAGAGTTGTCACCTGAGGAACCAAGGCATAAATTAGAAAAACACTGGAAATGTACTGGGAATACACCTGGCAGCGGATCTCACACCTTAGTACCTGTTCCCCTGCTCCCGTGGAAGAGGCCGTCAGAGTGACTGACTGTCTAGGTCAGTGTGATTTTAAACATGATCCTTGGGAAGCTTATGAAGCCACACCCTCACTTTCTAAAATGATAACTACCGTCTTTATAGATATTTTAAAACATAGGTACTCAGGGGGAACCCTTTTGGTTTGGCTGCCAAAATCATTTAAATGCAAGAAGGATGATCTTTAATGTAATGACCTACTGTTTTCACTAGTCGTTCATAAGGAAATAGGAACATAATTAATCTCTGGGATTCTTTGTTTCCTACAGTTCTGAGCTGGAATAATGGAAACTGTTCTCTAGCAGAAGAATGGCTTTCTTTTAGACCGTTCGACACATCCCTGTGTTCCTGATGGGTTTTCCTCAGCCTGCGCTGGAATTTGGATGCCTGGTTTACTTTTTATTTTTTATTTCTTTCACGTACAGGAATGTAGTTGGCATTGATGTAGTCTGCTCCTTCCTCTTCGTTCATGGAGATTAATCGCACTCGGCTAAAGTCATCTGTACAGAATCAGAAGAAAGGAAACGTTAAAAATTAGGGTGGAAGGAAGACTTGTTTAGATCCTGTCTTCCCAATATCAAGCCAAAATGGTCAGGGATAGAGTAAGGGAGATAAAGCTTGTCTTAGCTTGAGATGTTAGCCATACCTCAATTTTAGTTTCTCGTTTAAACAAATACATAAATTTCTCTCCATCACTATTTTCTCCCACCAGCTCTCCTGTCCTTTGAAGAATTAGATTCATCTTTTGGGGGAGAGGGTGCATAATATTTTCAAAAACTAAAAATTTTGGTAGATTGTAGGGAAGGCTACAGCATGTATCTTAACTATGTAATTTCCATTTCACACAGTGACATCCAGGAATGCATTACCTTTGGGAAACCTAGAGGAGAAAATGGAGCTGCATGGGCTTTTTGTGAATGGAATTCAAATGAGAAAAGTAAACTCGGAAATGTGGACAGATGTAAGGTGTTATAGTCGTAATGCTGCCTAAGATTACCAAGAAATGTTATTAAGGAAAACATTCTTTTCCTCGAGCTTGTTCACCCTCTTTTTCTACTTTTCCATTCTGTCATGGCTCCCCCTGGAGAATAGCAGAGAGGAGAGTTAGATCTATATTGGAATATATTTTAATTGTCCTGTTAGTACTTCATATTACTTTTTCTCTGAATGTTGCTTTTATTTTTTAAAAATGCTAAGCAACAACAGAACTTGCCAGAAGTTAGCAAAAGAAGGCATTTGCTGCTTTCCATTGCCAATGAATTGACAGAATTCATTTTATGAGAGCACAGGTTATTTTATCCCTAATTTGGCTAAGACATTTGATCACTAAAGAGCCAAATGGTCAGTCTTGCCTGTTCACATGCAGTTCATTTAAATGCATAATGATTACATCTTCTTACACACGATAGGATCTAATGACATCAGAGCGGGGATTCGATCAAAGATGGCCTTGAAGATCCGGACCACTACTGGGTCTGGCCAGAGATTGGCAAAACTGATTAATTTGCATTTAATCATTCTTCAATCTTTGAAATATATGAGTCAGACCGGCACTATTGACAATCTTACATGGTAGGATGTTTGTGTAACGATTTTTACATCGGTTCAGTGGAAGGTCTGCAGCAAAGTGTGGAATATCCAGTCCAATCAATTTCAACTCCTGTAAGTGACAGAGAATAGATTTGAGATTTCCATACATACATGGTGTGGATGGGATGTTCACTTTAGACCATTCTTCACTCCAGCCTATAAGAGAATCGTCACACCGCCTTTGCCATATGAAGCTGCAGAGCTCCCTTTTGGGATAGAACATACATCACTACCCCACTCTTGTCTACTTGCTTTGGCCAATGAACTTGGATAGAATCATGTTCAGTAAGAAGCTCTACATGGGCTTGTTTGTTTTGTTTTGTCCTCTTGTATTTCTGCTATCTGCCATGAAAAGAACATGAGTAGGGAAGCTGCTTGTCCCTAAATGAGGAGACATGTGAAACAGTCCTCACCCTGACCCATGGCTGGACGCAGAACTGTCCCTGCTATTCGATAGCCCCTCAGTGAGAAAATTAATTGTTGCGGTAGGTCACTGAGATTTTGATTTTGTTTTGTATATAATAGCATTATTGCAGAAACAGCTGACTAATACAATACATATATATATCTTAGATAACCTGGTGATCATTTGGAGAAGGCAAGGATTATGTGCATAATTCTCTGGATGTGGAGAAGTTGAAAATAAGTTTGAAAAGAAGTCCATTTCAGTTTTTGGGAGGTATCGAGTAACTGAAATGTAGGCAATTTGCACAAATGTTTCCTAGTCTCTGAGGAAATGTCAGTATTTCTCTTTTAGGCAATGAGCCTCAGAGAAAGTGGTAAGAGAAAGAATTAGGAACAATGTAGGAATATTTTCCATGTAACAAGATGTAGGATTGACAGGCACTTATACTAGAGACCTGGTGCATGAATTTGTGCCCAGGGGGTACAGGGGAAGGGGATGTCCCTCAGCCTGGCTGGCAATAGGGGCCAATTGGGGCCAGCTGGGGAAGGGACTGCAGGAAGTTGGCTGTGGGAGCACACTGACCATCAGTAGACAGCTCCTTCATTGAGTGGCTGCCCTCTGGTGGTTAGTGCACGTCATAGTGATCAGTTGACCAGTTGTTGAGTCGCTTAGGCTTTTATATATACACTAGAGGCCCAGTGAACAAAATTCATGCACAGGGGAGTCTATGAATTTTGTCCCTCCCCTTAGCCCAGCCTCACCCTCTCCAATCCAGGACTCCTTAGGGTATATCCAACTGCTGGTTTAGGCCTCATCCTAAACCGGCATTTGGACATCCCTCTCACAATCCAGGACCACTGGTTCCTAACTGCTCACCTGCCTACCTGCCTGATCACCCCTAAGTGTCTCCCTGCTGGCCTGGTCACCCCTTACTGCTCCCACTGCTGGCCTGGTCACCCCACATAGCCTGCTTGTTCAGTTGTTTGGTCATCCCTCACAAACCCCCCTGCTGGCCTGGTCACCCCATGCAGCCTGGTGCTCAGTCATTTGGTTGGCCTTCACTAACACCCCTGCTGGCTGGTTGCCTCACACAGCCTGCTGCTCAGTCATTTTATCACTCCTCACTGCCCCCCCCCCTGCTGGCCTGGACCCCCTACACACCCTGCTTGCTGCTCAGTCATTTCATCACCCCCTCACTGCCCCAGGAGTGGGTCTGGTCGCCCTAGGCAGCCTGCTGTTCAGTCGTTTGGTTGTCCCTCACTAACCTGCCTGCTGGCTTGGACACCCCATGAAGCCTGTTTGGTCATCTGTTCAGTTGTGATGGTCACTTAACCTTTTATATACTGTATATAGACTAGTAGGCTAGAGGCCTGGTGCATGGATTCATGCACATTGAAAGGAAATTAATTAGAAGGTGGCTGGCAGGGCGGGACTGAGCAAGATGGACTGGACAGGCCCTGGAGCCAAACTCTCACAGTCCCTTCCCAGCCAGTTGTACCTTGGGTAGCTCAGGGGCTCAAAGGATATCAGTGGTGTGAGCAGGGTCCCTCTGGCAGATGGGGATCCTCAGCCTGGCCTGCAGGGATTGGGCTGAAATCTGCAGTCCAACATCCCTTGAGGGGCCCCGGAGTATGAGAGGGTACTCTGCAAAGTTGCTGTCATTTGGTAGCTCCTGTGTTGAGCATCTGCCCCCTGGTGATCAGTGTGCATCACACCTACCAGCCAGTCAGCTTGCCAGCCAGTTGGCTGGCTACTTCTCTCCCTTCTCTCTCTCTCTCTCTCTCTCTCTCTCTCTCTCTCTCTCTCTCTCTCTCTCTCTCTCTCTCATATTTCTAGCTCACAAAATCTCTTTGGTAGCTATATGCTCATTTATATATATAAAGAAACTTCAAAAATAAGGATGAATCAGTAGTGGGTAAGTGGAAACTACAGTGAAAATAAGAACATCCAAATATTGGCCTGTGTGTATCAGTATTCCCATAAATTCTATATCAGAAGGTGAATTGATAGAGCAATTTTTCTATAAACTGACAACCATCATACCTCAAAAATTATGCTATTGGACAGATGATTTCTAAGATGCTTTGTCCTGTATTTGGTAGGAAACAAGGGTTGTCGTCAAACCACTTAGATTTCCCTGGGGGCATCATTCATGCTGTGGTCTGTGTGAATGGTGCTCCGTGAAATTGTATAGGGCAAGACCAATGCAGCATATCTAGTTATTATCCCTCAACACATTTAAGGGAAATAATAGTAAACAGCATGTGTAACCATCTCTAAGTGGGATTATCTATATAGCAATGCACTTTTCTGTAAGACTATTAACTGAGGCAGTAGAGAAACCGCTTGTACATTTTATTTACTCATATAGGATGTGAATATTGCAAACAAGTTTTACTTGTCATAATTATTCCCAGGTATCCCTTCAATCATAAGCCGGAAGAATACTTCTCAGGGAGAAGAGTTTTGTGAGTCTTTGAAAGACTTTCTAAGGAAATTGGAGACATTTGATGACATTTGGAGAGCCTGAACAATGATATCTCCTTCATGATCTTTTTGTCTTGATTCCAGTGCTCTTTGCAAAGTATATGCTTCAGAATCTAGTTCTTGAAACTGCTGGGGCTTCCACATAAAAAGTTCAGTGTGTGTGCTTAATGGTGTTGAGAGGCAAGCCTGTGGTCCACAAAGATGAACCAACCAAAATCGTCTAGATTTCTTGGTTTCTTTGCTCCTGTAGCTCTATGACTTTTCTAGCTCACAAAATCTTCATACTTTTTTACCTAAATTAAAGCATCGTAAAGACAAACTATGCTAACTTTGATCCTCAAATCACAAAATCAGAAGTTTTTCTATCTTAATCAAAACCCTTGCTTGCCAAATGCCTTTAAATGTCACTGTTATTACTGGTTTTCCATTTTCAAGGGTTTTCAAATCATTCTTGTAGGAAATGAAACCTAGTTTTAGAAACTTCAACTAAATCAGTGTTAGGTTAGGTCCTTTTGGTAGCTATATGCTCATTTAAATGATGCTTTCATCAGTTATTTTGGAAATCTACCTCCTTTAAAGAGTGCCTTTATAGCCTGGCCAGTGTGTCTCAGTGGTTGACCCAAGTACCAGGAGGTCACCGGTTCCATTCCTGGTCAGGGCACATGCCTGAGTTGTGGGGATCGTGCAGGAGGCAGCTGATGGGTGTTTCTCTCTTATTGATGCTTCTATCCCTCTCCCCCTCTCCCTTCCTTTCTCTCTAAAAATCAATAAAAACATTTTTTATTTAAATAATGCCTTTATAGATAGCTTATCAAAACATTTGGCTCATTTTGAGGTACCCCTTAAACTGTAAGGCCTTGGAAAAATAGTTCAAGTGTCATCCACATCAGTTTAATTATTTGTAAGATAAGGTTAATAATTTCTCCACACCTCCCTGGTGTATAGTGACCATCAAATGAAATGATCAGACCCAACAGATGAATGCAGCACTATGGAGAATGGTTGTGAAATGTGTCTGTTTGCCTGGCCCCACAATTCTCCATCCTTTGTCATTTGCACTAACAGACCAGCGACTCTTCCCGCAAGTCCCCTGCTTTGAGGACAGACTGATAAGCCACAGGAAAGGGCCTCAGATACGAAAGAAATGGTGGAAACAGATTGCAGCAGAGAGCTTGGGCACATACGGAAGCTGACTAGCTGACAGAACTTTAATTGTGAGTTGCCTCCCTGTGGTAAATGCCCTAAGTTGATAAGAGAGGTTTAATTGGCTGAACACTGGAAACATAAATTGCCAGATCTGAATTGCAGCAAAGCAGGAACCGCATGTATGCACAACATGCTCGCAATCTTTTGTACTCCAGCCTGTCGCTAAGTGGAAAATGGAACACAAAGTTTCCAGCTCAGTAGCTTTGCAGTTATTTTCTTTCTAACCATATGGAATCTCCAGAGGCTGAAAGTTCCAGAAAGGCAAAGTATGAGGGGATGGCCTGAAACCAACATGTCATTTTTGAGTTTTCTCTTGCTAGTTTTGATTCTAATATGATTTATCATCATGAGTTTGTTTTTTCTAGGCCACAGAGTCACCATATGAATGGTGGTCCCCCCAAAAGATATGTCTACCTCGTAACCCCTAAATCCTGTCAGTGTGCTTTATTTGGAAGGAGGGTGTTTGCAGATGTAATTAGTTAAGGATCATGAGACAAGTCCTTTTTGCATTATCCATGTGGGCCCTAAATCTAATGACAAGTGTTCTTATGAAAGGGAGGAGAGGAGAAGCCCATGTAAAAGTAGAGGCACATATGTGAGTTAGGCAGGTGCAAGCCAAGGAATGCCTGGAGCCACCAGAACTGGAAGATTCTCCTTTAAAGCTTTCAGAGGGAGCATGGCCCTGCTAATGCTTTGATTTTGGACTTCTGGCTTCTAGAATAGTGAGAGAATAATTTTCTGTTGCTTACAGTCACCAAGATTATGATAATTTGCTATGGCAACCCTAGGAAACCAATATAGTCACCAAGGCCCAGTGGAAGTCCATCCTGTGTGGCTGTGTTTAAAGCTTGCAAGTCTTGAAAAGCAAAGCATATAAATATGCACTGTGCTAGATGTATCTCTCCAGTCTCTGCTTTGTCATCACATGGCAGTCTCCTTGTTTCTGAATAGTCACATAGCTGCCTTTCATAAGGACTTCCACCCTACTGTAGTATGACTTCATCTTAACTAATTACATCTTCAAATGGTCCTATTTCCAAATAAGGAAGAATGAGGTGCATCAGTGATTAGAATCTCGGGAGTGTCTAGCAATAGCTACTAGGGCTTTGGGCTCTAGGATGGGGTTTAAGGACAACACTTCAATCACTGGGCACTTTACTGTACAGGCACTTGGGAACAGAGACCAAACCTAGGAAATTAGAAATGAGAAAAAACTCAGGTCTGGAGCAATGTATGATCTGGTATTGGAGAAGGTTCAAGGCAACCTTTTTCAATAAGAACTGTAGGTAGGTCTCTAGTGAACTGGACTGAATCACAGGTAAGAACAGTGCAAAGGGGAGCTAGTCCCAGAAATCAGAGGCCATCCCTTGTGGACTGTATGAGAAGTAAGGTAGTTTTTCTTTTATCTTTGTAGACACATATCCCACTAGCATCCCAATCAAACATAAAACACAGAAAATAACGGCAGAATGAGCAGTAGGAGGTGTGTTTTATGGGCTCTCAAATGTCAAGCTCTAAAGTCTGACTCTTCAAAACCTTCTCCATCTGAGACAAAAGAAATGAGGAATTGAATTTAATCCCTGGTTCCCAAACCTCCTTAAGAAATTATGTATATTTTTGTTAGAAGGATAATCAGTCTTTTCTAGTAGATTCAAAAATCAGATGCAGAGTGAAGAGTAATTTATTCAGTGAATGCAAATTAGCAACTTGTATAGTTTCATGTATGACTTAGAGATGTATTGGTTGTATATTTAAATCTAGATATTAGTTTCAATTTGCATAATGCTTACAAGTGATGAAATTTCTCTATGTGGGTGCGATCTTTCAATGTCAGAATCAAAATGAATACAACTATTAAGCATTAATATAAACAGAACAAAGAACTGTTCAGCCACTGGATTTAGCTAGACCAGCTGATTGAGCCATCTTAACACTCTCTTGGGTTCCATTGGAAAGGAAACAGTTTTTTCCCCTTTAAGCCTCAATTAATTATCAACTTCAGGAAAATTTGAGGGCTGCCATGTGGAAGGTCCAACATGCACACTGAAGTCAGGTGTGGGAGCACAATGAGTCTTTAAAAATAGAGGAAGATACTATGAAGATATAGGGTGAGAGGGTTGGGAACTGGAACTATCTGGGAGGCTGTCAAATGAAAAAGGAAGTGAGTCAGACTAACGGGTCACTGCTTGAGCAAATGTTAGTCCAAAACAAACAATCTGAGCTTGTGATTTCAATAAAGCAGATTTCTGGAGAGTAATTTGTATTTTTTCACCATGGCAAAGGATACAATATATCAGGACTTGACACCAACTAATTATACAGTATATATGACCAATAATACTCTAAAAACAAAGATATATGGAAAAAATAAAACTTCATCCTATATAATAAAAGGCTAATACGCAAATAGATCAAACAGTGGAACAACTGGTGGGTATAATGCCCACTGACCACCAGGGGGCAGACGCTCAATACAGAAGCTTCTCCCTGGTTGTCAGTGTGCTCCCACAGGGGGAGCTCTACTCTGCCAGAAGCCCTGAGCTGGGCTCATGACTGGGGAGCACAGTGGTGGTGATGGGAGCCTCTCCTGCCTCCACAGCAGGCAGACATCCCCCAAAGGCTCTTAGACTGTGAGAGGGTGCAGGCTGGGCCAAGGGACCCCCCTTCCCCACCCCTGAGTGCATGAATTTCATGCACTGGGCCTCTAGTAATAAATAAAAATACTAAACACTCCTTCAAATAATGCTGTGATGGTTAATTTGATGTGTCAACTTGGCAAGGTTACAGCACCAAGTTGCTTGGTCAGACATCAAGTCCAGATGTTCTGTGTAATATTTTTTAAGATGTGATTAACATTTCAATCAGTAGACGTTGAGAAAGCAGCGCTTAGCCTCCAACATGTGGGTGGATCTTACCCAGTAAATCGAAGGCCTTAAGAGGAAAGAGGGAAGTCCCTGGAGGAAGAAGGAATTCTATTTCCAGACTGCGGACTTGGGCTATAACATCACCTCTTCCCCAGGTCCTGCACTGCAGATTTCACACTTGCTAGCTCTGGCAGTCATGTGAGCCAATTTCTTAAAATAAATCTCTCCATCTTTTTTCTCTAAATCCCATTATATCATCTATCTACTTATCTATCTATCTATCTACTTATCTATCTATCTATCTATCTATCTATCATCTATCTACCCATCTATTGATTCAGTTTCACTTCAGAATCTTGACCATCACATGTGACTATTAAAGCTTGGATGTATCCATACCTCACATTTAGTCTATTGTTCTCAGTCGACAATTCTTTGCTGTGTGGGACTGTCCCATTTATTGAAGAATATTTAACATCCCTTCTCTCTCCCCACTAAATATCACTAGTGGGTTACTTCCAAGCCATATGACAAACAAAACACACACACACACACACACACACACACACACACACACACACACACACACACACAAAACCTCCACCACCACCACAAAAAACAAACAAAACAAAAACCAAACTCCTACACATCCGCAAACCCTGCCTAGGGAACTGCCTGGTATTGGCCCCATTGAGATTCACTGATTCAGTGAAGCCTACCATTTTATAGATGAAGAAGCTCAGGTGATGAAAAATTTGATTTTTTCAGTATTAATTAGTGGCAAAATGGTATGGAGGTCCCAGGTTTTTGAATTCCCAGTTTAGCACATTCCTATATCCTTTATAAATTCTATAAGATAAGCCTAGATATGTTAAACATCAAATGTATAAAAGCCCTCGACATCTTAAAAAGTGAGCATTTAGCACATAAAGATTACCATTCTACTTTTCATATTTTTGAAGCATTTGCATCTGGGGTCTAATCCCTCACTGTTTGGTTATCCCAGTGTCCTTGCTTTGAAAATAATGTTTCCTTCTTTGATTTAGCTTTGTGCTTCCAGTAAGAGCTGTTCTATTCTGAGGTGATTCTGCCCTCCCTGGCTGTGGTTGGTTTGAGGGGACATCTTGGCCTAGGCCAGCCAATCAGAATCATCCCGTGTTATTTTTCAAAATATGAACAAGAGAGTTAAGAGTTTCTATTGGAAACTATGGAAACTATACTGTAAGACACAGATGTTTTTGGTGGTCGTGTTTGCCATAGACACAGAGGTTGGCTTACAGTGAAAGAAGGTGAAGCCAAGACAGAGAGAAGCAGAAGTGAGAAATAAAAAGAGGTGTCTGCAGTGGTGTTCTCTGGTTCCAATCATACTTTAGACAGGATTACTTCCTTGCCCTCCTGGTTCAGCTACTCATTCTTTCCTTTGATCACATGAGATAACAGCATCCTGGGAATGAATTCAATTTTTCTTTGGTCTAAACTAGTTTGAATTGTGTTCCAGTGATGGACAACTAAAATAATATTTTCTTTTTACAAAAAATAAAAGACTAATTGAATATTTTTAATAATAATGCATTTCAGAAGCACAGTAATAGTTAAACCAAAGTTTGTCAGGAGGTACTCCTCATCCTCCCAGCAAAGGTAGGGATGTAGCTGTGCTACTAGGTGGTATAATCTTGTAGAAATTAAGAGGCGGTGGCTTCAATGAGGTTGAAAGTGCACCTACATCTTAATCATCATCATTATAACTATCTACTATTTATATTTTCTAAGTTTGGGCTTATGTTTTCTTCTAAAACTCTCTTCCTTTCATTGATATACTTTCTGAAATGACATCCTCACCATAGATCTCCAATTCAAACTGAATTTCTGTTTTTTGAAATACAGCATTTGGTGCAACATCTGTAATTTCTTATGCACCTGCACTCAATGGCTAACTGTGGAATTTCTCATGACACAGGCGGTAGTTATAAGCTTTGTAACTGATAACATCTCAAGTTCTCATCCTTAACTTTCCTGTTAGAATTTCTATACCAGGATTCCTCATTTCTTGCAGACCAAAGCTGTCCTTGGCTGATGGGTGGAAAGAAGAAGTTAATATATGAATAATGAGGAAGAAGGAGCTACATTCTACAACCTACTATTTCACAGGAAAGAGCACGTTGGAGGTTTAAAAAAAATCTACAGTATTTAGAAAAGCCACTTTGTTTTTCAATTTTCTCTGATTCCCCTGACTCATGGATGCCCCTGTAGAAAGCTGAAGATGTGCCCGTCCAGACTGTGCTACGTGCTGCAAAACACGTGGTGATAGTTCTCACGCTGCTGAGATCCAGGCTTACTCATTCCCTGCCGCTATGACACATGGTCTTGGACTCAAACAAATATGTGTACCTCATAGATAGGAGGTGCCTCCAACTCTTTTCTTCTACACAAAGCATGTCTCCCCAATTTCTCCAAGGAAAGGAAACAAAACTTCACAGGGAAATATTAAGTAGAATGCCAAGAGTCCTATAGGTAGAAGAGCCCCACTATAGACTCTTAAATGCCCATAAGACAAATAGATCCATTACACCCACCACACTATGGCCCAAGTGGCATGAGAAACACACTAAAAATCCCCTGAGAGTGAAATTCTGTTTCCAATCTCAATCGTCAGCTTGCTTTCCCCTGCAGTCTCAATCATCTTGATTTTCAATGGAAGCTTCTCCCACTACCATGTTTGTTCACCTCAGTGCCTGCATCTCCTTCCCTTCATCTGTGCCCCTAGTCCTGACCTAGTAACTAAAAGCTGACATCCTATCTCTGAACCTGCAGATTAGATACATACTCCTGAGCCCATTCTGTTTATGATGTAACCTCATTCCAAGCGCTGCCCAGTGAGCAAAGACAGGACACCAACCCACACCTGCCAGTTCTCTTGCCCCATCTACCAGAAGGCAGGGCCTGCTTTTTCCACTCACCTCGAATTGAAGAGAAAATTTATAGTCAGAGTCTTTGGCCATATCCCTGATGTAGGCGTCAAAGTCGTCCAGTTGAACCGGGCTTTGTCAGACACAAAGAAAAGTATGTTTAAAAAACCCTACCGATGGGTATTGTTTAACACTGTACTTCTCAAACATGAACACTTTTCTTGGAGAAAATAGTTTTGCTTCTCAAAGGTTAGCACTCTGTTTTTTATTGTTGTTTGTTTCTTGATTAAAGTTGTCAGTCCTTACTATATTGTAATTAAAAAGAGAGCCATCTATATGAAACATCCTTGAGATGGGAGATATCTTTAGATTTTCAATTTACTCCAGCAGTAAAATAGTATATACCTGCAAACTCACATACATATTCATATGTGTGGTTTCTAGAAAATTCTGGTTTATGGAGGGAAAAATGGATTAGACCTTGCACACTTGTAGGAATTATGGCTTTACTTTACTTTCTGTGTGATTTTGGAGAGTTTACCTAACTCTTCTGAGATTTAGCATAATCAGCTATAGAATACCATTATCATACCACCTCATAAGGTTGCACCCTGCATATAAAGAACTTTGCCAGTTTAAAAAGGCTTTACAAGTGTAAGGAATTGGGCTGCTGACTATGCTGTTTCCCCAGGACAGAGGAGGATTGTGGGTGGAGCAATAGATCCAGAGAGCTGCCAGGGCCTCAGTTTGAGAGACATGCTTAGAGGTTTGCATAGTTATTAAATGATATGCAGGTTCAGAGGTACCATCTAAGAAGACATCGGAGCATATGTTTCTACATCTGTAGCAAAAGTTCTCACCTCTTCTCTTGTTTTTTTTATTTTTTTTTATTTTTTTTATTTTAAATAAGGATTATGGTTTGTTTCCTGTAGTTTTCCTTTTTTTCTTTTAAAATATATTTTTATTGTTGATAGTATTACAGATATCTTCCATTTTTTCTTTTTACCTCTCTCCTCTCGGCCCCTACCCAGCACCCCATAGTTTCACTACCCTATTGCCCATGTCCATGGGCTATGCATATCTATCTATATCTATATCTATATCTATATCTATATCTATATCTATATCTATATCTATATCTATATCTATATCTATATCTATATCATCTATATAAAATATCTCTATATAAAATATCTCTATATAAAATAGAGAAATATGCTAATTAACTGGGACGTCATAACAGGTTGACCAGACAGGAGGAAGTTTCACACACAGCGCTGGGAGAGGGCCTGATCAGCAGTGGCCCTGGCTGCTGTGGGGCCCGTGGTGGGAGGCAGGGCCAGACCCGTGACTCGAGGGTGGGTGGTGCTGCGCGATTCTGGGTGCCTAGTAAGTATATAAATTCTTTGGTTTATCTCTCTTGTCTCTCCCAACTCCATACTGAGTTATGTCAGTCTGTTCCATGCCTCCCTGCTTCGGGTCTTATTCTTTTGGTCAATTCATGTTGTTCATTAGATTCTACAAATAAGTGAGATCGTGTGATATTTGTCTTTCTCAGGTTAGCTTATTTCACTTAGCATAATACTTTCCAGGTCCATCCATGCCGTCTCCAATAGTTTTCTATAGCTGCTTACTGTGCCTATACTCTACCCAGACTGACCTGCTCCCTAAGCTTCTGCAGCATGCTGTCCTCTGCCACCTACCCCAAGCCTTCTACTCTGTCAGGGCCCACATAGTTGACCTTTCTTTTAGTCTTGTTGCAAGTTACTCAGCTTATGTCATCTACGTGTGGCCTTATATCTTCATAGCAAATACACAGTACTTATAGCCATTTGTTTAAAGTTGTTCATTAGCTAATCTGACAGTTAACTTATTTTACTAGATTTTAAAGGCCATTATACCTCCCAGATAATACATTTAAACTTTAATGGTTTTTCTTAATAACAATAACATTAATGAGTTATATACACCTAAAATATTTACATATGTTATGTTGCTTGATTGATGGTAAGATAGACATGGCTAACATTACTCCATGCTCTAGATGAGAGAGTCAAGGCTAAGAGAATCAAGGGAGTAGTCCAAGACCACAGGACTATTGAGCTGTGCAACCCTGGCTGGAGCCCAGAGGGAATGATTCCCGGTTAAAAGTTTTTATACTTCAAACTTGCCATCCTTCCCCAAAATGGCTAAACATGGGAACATCAATAAGAATAGCAAGTCAGAGAAAATATTTAGGGGTTAGAAAAAGCAAAAGCAGGGAAAAGAGAGACAGAGAAAGAACCAGGAAATAGAAGTATGAACATCAGGGAGAGGATGATAAGGAGAAGGATGAGAAAAAGGAAGCTGGGAGGGAGCAGAGATAAGCAGATCAAAGATTTAGAGGGAAAGGGGGAAGGAGAAGGTGGAGGAAAGGAGTGATGGGATGAAGATAAGTGGATATGGGAAAGAAGAGCCAAGGGGACACGGTGGTTGGGGAATTTGGGGTGAAAGAGAAAAGGTAAAGAGAAAGTAAATAGAAAGTTGGGGAGGGGGATATAAAGCCCCCCAATAGTTGACTTTTGGAGAAGGAGATAAGATTGGAGGAAAAATGAGAAGAGGAAATGAGGAAGCTGGTTTGATGCAATGTTCTGACTTGTGGGCAGTTTCCACCACTCCTAACCTCTACCGAAACTTCTGTCCACATCCTGCTTCTCCATCTCCTCTCTGCCTGGGCCTTGGGAGGAGCAAACCCTAATGGAGTCTCCTTTTTTGGTTCTGAGACCCTGTCTTTTAACTGCACTGGTCTATGCCTCTATGTCTCATTTAACAACCCAATGGATAGTTTAGGCAACAAAGTCTTTCTGTTTCTGTCAAATCATTTCTTCCAGGTGATAGTAGCTCTCCTCTCTTTAGGTCAGTCTTGTGTCTCCTATATCACTTGGTGTATGCCAATGGATGCAAACTTGATTTGAAATAGATTTAGGAAAAAATGATGCTGTTTATATTTACATGTGCTAAAATACTATGTCACTCAAGGCTATATAAAATATATTTGCATCAACTTTTCTCTTGTATTATGTGCTCCGTGACTTCTTCCTCATTGGCATAGATGCCATAGATCTGGCTGGAACCCCTAATTACCTCAGATTAATTCACCAATATTCTATCCTGGGCAAGTATCAAGGATGAGCTCTATTTATAGATGTTCTGCTCTTTAAGCGCGCAGTTTAACCGAAGGCCTGGAGGTGATCATCTAATTAGGCTTTTGAAATCAACTGATGGCTAATTATCACCCATCAGAATCTTAATTCTTATGATTTAACAGTTCAGTAGATAAGGAAAACCACAGGCTAACAAGAACAATTGTCTTCTTTCTATTTATTACAAAGATTTCCTGAGGCAGCACTTCTCAAAGCATTTATTATGACATCCAATCTAATAAAAGCCTCTCTCTGCAATAAGCACAGAACTTCAAAGTACAAAATGATAAAGGTTTTTGTAAAATTTTGATGTGGCTAAAAAGTAATTTTTTTTTATCGATTTAGAAAAACATTTTCTTCAGCAAGACTTTGATAATTCTCAACAACCTATTCTTTCTCAGATGTCATTTGGTGATAATATTTTTTATTCTTGATATGGTTTCTGTCATATACCCATCTAAGGAGTCATGCCATCTATATGTGCAAACACACCATAATATGTTAGCCATTTTAATATACAATTGCCTCTTTCTTTTCTTTTTTTCTTTTCTTTCTTTCTTTCTTTCTTTCTTTTTTTTTTTTTTTTTTTTAATAATTGTAAGAAGTTTATTTGAGCCAAAATGAGGATATATGCCTGGGAGCAAGATCCCAAATGCTCCTTGCCTCTTTCTTAAGCATCCCTTCTATTTGAAAACAAGCAATCTATTTAATTTGTAATATTAACATCATTACAAAGAACATTTTTAAAGAAAATATTTTAAAATGAAATAGTAAGAAACACTTATACGTACTTAAAAATTGCTGAGACCAGACTTTAAGTGTGCTTACCACAAAAAGAAAATGATAATTATGTTACAGATGGAGATGCTAGCTAATGCTAGAATAGTAATCATATGGCAATATATAAATCTGTCAAGTCAATACAGTATATACCTTAAGCATGCACAATATTAAATACTAATTATGTCTCAAACATGAAAACACTTACTTAGTCAGTTTTCTCTTCTTTAAACCATTTTTACTCCTGATAATGAATAAAAAAGAGACAAATTTATCTGGGCAAAAGAATTGATTAGCATAATGATTAAATTTGAAGAATTTTAAATAATTATACCAAGCACCTCAATTTTATTTAATTTTCACTAAATATATCTCAGATTTGTTTAATTACTTTTCCTTAAATGAGAACATATGATAATAATTTCAGATTCATTTAAAAGAAACCCTCTATTTGATTGTAGGAACATACCTATACTTTATATTTAATATTTGCCAGAAACAGAAATCTAAATATAATTTTTTGCTACTTGTGATTAAGTTGCTAAAATCATTTTTAAATATATAAAAATACCAACCGCCTGAATTCTCCCAGTCCTATAGGTAAGAAGCAAAGAACCAGGGAATAATAGTGAAAAATAATGGTGGGAGGGAAGATATATTGGTCTCTTAATTAAAACTAAAATAGCTTTTCTGGACATTTTTGTTGGGCATGTGAATTTGTGCTACCCAGTGTTGGCTTGTGTCTTATATAATTTCACTATGGCATTGTTTATATTCAATTATAAACTAGCTTTTAAGCTGTTTGAGGAATTGGACCAGTTACCTGCTTGTTCTTGATTCTTGACTAGTCTGTAAGCTCAACTCAAGGTATGCTTCAGTTATTACAAGGGGTACTTAGGGGAATAGTTTTCAACCAAGAAGTAAGATAACTGATCTAGTAGCAAATGCTAAGATAATCTGCTGAAGCACTTCATTATTATACTTTAATTTTTTACATAAGTAATACTAGGTATGACTGTGAGCAAATATTTTTTATAAGTATTTTCCAGGATCTTTGAAAATTGATGGGAGCATCCAAACTTTCAGAAAATAATCTATAGTAACAACTGGATGTGATGAATACCCTCATGTGCCAAAATATTTATTTACATGGGAATTATGCATGCTTGGATACCTCCATTTCCAGAAAGCCTTTATCAGAATAAAGCACTACTTTCTCGGCTTGCACAGTGCTTTACTCATGAGGCATTTCTCACATTGTCTGACTGTCCATCCATCAGACTGACAGTCTGGCAGCTAGACCATCCCTGCCCCCAGAGCTGAGCACAGCTATTAGAACACGTAGTAGGTGTTAAATAAATGCTTATTTAATTCAGTTAAAACAAACAACCTTGCTATGTCACCCTGACCCTTTTACTTTAATGATTCCATTAAGTATTTGTTACTTGAACTCCTATAGTCCCACTGGAGAAATGGGACTTTCGGATGGAGAGAAAGTAAAGCAGGACAGAAAATGTAGGGGCATGTCTGTAAGGCAAGTGGTATTTCTGCTTTCATGTAGTTTTCGTTCTTTCCAATTCTGAGTGAAGACAATCCAATCAAGAGTTCCTGTCATCATCCTTTCTCTGTCTTCTTTACTCGGGATTACATAAAGGGAACAAACATTGCAGTTTTACTTTGCCTCTCCCTTATCCTCCCAAAACCTCACTGTAATACTGGGCAGAGCTGTACCACACAAGCATTTGGGAGCCTAAAGAAATGCCTCTTGAATAATCTTCTACTCAGCGTTTGCAATGGTAATTCAGCTAGCTTTAGGATTCCCACACTCATTTCATGTAGCAGAATGTTAGCATAGATAGCTGATGGTTCCAGCAAAGTCAGGAGGCTGCCAGCATATTTTGTGATTGGGAGTGAAATTAAAAAAAAAAAAAGAAAGAAACCTTTCCTAACCAAACAGACTCTAAAGGAACCGGGGAAGAAACAAGTGTATGTGGGAGGGTGACACTGAATAAATTCAGTGCTGAGATATTAAGCTGCTACTATTCACAGCTGCGCAGAAATCTGACTCATGGAGGAGAGGCGCTGGTGTTTCAATCTCACTCATGAATTGAATGAACTTTAAATGCATGTGAAATTCTACCACTTGTTTAAAGAGGACTCACTGCCACACTCTGATCATCATAATTGTAGGTCTTCATGATTGTGTACAACTCTCATTGTTACACCTAGATTTTGCTGAGTTTCTATAGGTATCCTAAGGCCGTGGGACATGACAAAAGGACTGAATTATGAGACTCCACAGCAATAGTGATATAATTATCACTGTAATTGCTGTGTTCATTCTAAGACTAACCTCACGGGAAATCCATTTTTAAACATGTAAGTTAAGGCTTTGCTAACAATTTTAACTTCAGCACATTATGGAAAAAGCTAGTGTGTGGGCATGTTACAATGAACATATTGGGTGATGCTTAGGGTAACATCTCATTACAAAAAATTTTATGCCTAACTGACAATAATCACCAGAAATATGGTATATGTCCATATAGGATGATATACTTCTTTTAATTTTTTCCCTATCATTTATGTTAGGTAAAGTTCAATGCCCCAATGATTTCAAGAAGCTAAGCTGCATTCTTTGTAAGTCCTTCATGGTATGACAGTCGTAGAAAGCTAGCCAGATTGGCATTCATTGCAAAGAAGAATATAAAGCAATGACAGAACATGGGATTCATGATGATTAAAAACAATTTCATAAGCACTACTTACTTTCTCATGAGCTAAATGGAAATCACCCCCAAATCTTAAGAAAAGGTCTTTAGAATTACATCACCCGCTGAATTTAGCATGCAATAACCATGAGCAAAGCTGAGCATTTTAAAGTAAATGTTACTTCATGCTTACAATGTCAACAACTGTGGAGGACTTAGACCAGGCAGATGAATAGTAGGGAACAGTATGAAGGTGAATATGGAAGTAAGAAAAAAGAGAGTAATAACACTGAATCCAGACAATCTGAGACCATGAAAGTCAGAAATTGTGGCAGAATACAATCCTTAATTAAGCAACTGAGCCCTGGGGTTCGGCCCTGAATCTGCAACCATCCTGGGAAAAGATTCCAGCAACCCTATGAGAAAGAGAATTAATTTTCACACGAACCACTACAGACATCAGGAGGATTTTGGAAAACCGATAGAAACACATCTCCTCGTGAAGTGGATAGAAGCTGGGCAGTGTGTTAGGAGGGGGGTGAGTTATTAGATGAAAAGCAGCAAACAGCAGGGAATTCGGGCGGCTTTCTGAGTACTGAGCTAAGCTAGGAGAAGGGACCATGAATTTTACTTTGATGTTTGGCATGGCACAAGCCTCAGGCTGAAAACAAAGGTTACGATCAGTATATTTTTATTGATTGATCTATGTGTGTGCAGTTTACTGAAAGTGACAGAAGGCTCTATGTTTTGCCTTCTCTTCTTGCCTGGAGATAACCATTTCCTGTTTCAGGATTGTTTTTCTACAAACCACTGAAAGGCTTTTACTTCTAACTCGGTTCTCATGTTATTTGATGAGTACTATAAGTAGTGGACCTTGAAGGGTTGCTGAAATTAGATCCTGAGTTCATCATGTCATTAAAAAAGACATGCCAGCCCTGGCTGGGTAGCTCAGTTGGTTAGAGCATCATCCAGATACACCAAGGTAGAAGGTTCAATCACTGGTCAGGGCACACACAAGAATCAACCATTGAATGCATCAATAAGTGCAAATCAATATTTCTTTCTCTCTAAAATCAATAAAAAGTTATATTTATATTTAAAAAGACGTGCAAATAAGCCTAGGCCCACCTGATATAAGCTTAAAATGAATGGTAGAAAATGAGAAAATCAAATAAGTAAGCAAGGGACACATTCATATAAAGCTGCATTCTGTGACTTTCTGCAGCTTTTTATCTTAACTTATACTCCATTTCTAAAAAACTAGCAGTTTACATGGAGGTATGACAGGACACTCAGGTACTAGTCATTTAAGAACAGTAGCTCATCAAGTGCTTAGTTAATCTTCTTCAACCTCTGTTTCCTTATCTCTAAAACGGGGTGACAATACCCTCTTCAGAGTAATGACAATTAAATAAGACAGTTAGACCTAGTTGGTTTGGCTCAGTGGATAGAGTGTTGGCCTGTGGACTGAAGGGTCCTGGGTTCGATTTCAGCCAAGGGCACATGCCCAGGTTGTGTGCTTGATCCCCAATGGGCCGGGGGTTGGGGGGTGAGGAGGGGAGAAGATAGGGAAGAAAGGGGGAGCATTCCAATCAATGATCCTCTCTCCCTCTCCTTTCCTCTCAGAAATCAATAAAAGAAATATTAAAATATTAAATAAATAAATAAATAAATAAATAAGATAGTTATACAAAGAGGATTAAACATGGTCATTTGCTCCATATTCATTAGGTTAGCATTCTTTTTTAAAAATGTATATTTTATTGATTTTTTTTTTTTTTACAGAGAGGAAGTGAGAGGGATAGAGAGTTAGAAACATCGATCAGTAGCCTCCTACATACCTCCCACTAAGGATGTGCCCACAACCAAGGTAGGTGCCCTTGACCAGAATCGAACCTGGGACCCTTCAGTCCACAGACTGACACTGAGCCAAACCGGTTTTGGGTAGGTTAGCATTCTTACACAAAAAGTCAACATGGAGGCCCCAAATGCAGGGGGTAATGCTCTGGGTTTCTCTACCTCCATGCATTTCTTCCTTCTTGGGAATATGGAACTCTGCAATGGATGGAGATGGGAAGGAACATGGAAAGCATCACTTATAAAGATGAGAGGCCATTGGATTGACTCAGGAAGAAACAAATGACTGGAAATACATGGAAAAAAAGCATGCCAGAACATCACAGGAAGAAAATTTAATTGGGAAACATTATTGTTAGCATCTTGGTACTATTCACTGCTTTAATTCATTTCAATGATTAATAATTTTAGATGCTGCCAACATATAAAAGAATTTTTCTGTTTTGCTTACTTCCTGAAAGCTAACTTTTAAAGACTGTGTTAGATAAATAGTAAAAAATAAAATGAAAATCACTTACCAAGGATTAATATAAAATGCCAAAAGATAATCAGTCCAAAGACATGAAGGTAGCAGGGTTAGGAAAGCAAATATACTCCTACGCCTGTGAGCATTAATAGATAACAGGTGTAAAGATGAAGAAGTGGCAAGAGTTAGTAAGATAAATTGTGAACAGACATCAGTACATTATTCACTGGAATCAAGTAAAACGAGCACCTTCATTATAATGAAATATTATCCCGTTCCGTGAAATTTAAACCTGAGGGCTGAAGTGCTATAATATTGTCATCAAAATCAGTTTCATTCATGCACAGCCTCTTATTGTAATCAGATTTTTTTTCAATGCATTTTGTGTTAATTAGCCTGCTATTAGGTGATTACATTTCGCATTCAGTGAAATGAAGCGCTTAAATGCCTCATTAGTTATCTGGAGTCTTACTCTTGGATATTACCCAGTGCATAAGTAAGTCTATTTTAAGGAACCTGTAAAACATCATTTGGTAGCTGTGGGAAGGAATATAAATGGTGAGTTTACATGTACTGGTTCTGATGAAGACTCGAAGCTTTCGGAACACTTTTGTGCATTACTGTGACTTTCTACATTAATTTTATTTTAACTGATACACCGTGTCTAAAAAATAACCCTCAACAAGGAGGTAGGGCATGACACTCAGGTGCCATTCATTCAGGAACAGTAGCCTAGTCTGTGAGCTTAACCAATACTCAGCGGAGTGGGAGCAAAACTATGGAGTTTCACTTTGATTCTCATTCAGACTGCTGGTTTAAAATGCATGGTTTGAAACCAGTTTCAGATATTCCACAGCTGTAACATAGAACATTCATTAATGCAGATTTAAATCCATTGTATGGTTGCATCAACAGTTGTTCTGAGAATCAGGGGGGAACGCTGTCGCCTTGTCACTTTAGTTTTTACAAATCTGCACCGAGATAGCTATCCTCAGCCCAAAAATGCGGGGCCTGGAAAACCTGTCTTTGCCAAGAGTGGATGAGGATTTTCTGAATTTTATAAAAAAGCCCTGAAGTGAAGTCTCTTTTGCCTCAGTTCTCCCGTAACGGGTTCCCCATATTTTATAAGCTGTGACTGGCTGTGCAGTCAATACACAGCTCTCCTGGGGCACGTGTACAAATGAATCATTTCCCACGTGAGCCGCTCTGTGACTGGACCATTTTTAAGGATGGGCCAGGCGGCAAACAAGTATCAGGGAATTTGTCTCTTCATCTTGCAAAACATGGTAATATGTTTGGACAAAGCTAGTAATGTCTCTTAACTTTTCACTATCAAGGGTTTATGAATTTCTCTCTCTTCACCAATGAATTAGTCACATTTCAATAGCAAAATTCCATTCGGACTAAAATTTTAAAACAGTGCAAAAGCATCCTATTCCAACTAAATTTTCAACCAGAGTGGGCCTTAAGTAGGTAAGTGCCCACTCAGGGAGGTAGAATTTATATTTTAAGTAGAATCCTCCTTCCCTCATTGATTCTGTAGAGTACAATTTCCAGTATTACATATCAATTTCTTTAAGACTAATCATTTTGGGGGGATTGCAGAAAACAAAACAAAGATTACTTACCAAGAATTAATACGAAATGTCTGTGTTTAAATGTGCTTTGCACGGTTGCTTGCACAAAAGCCAAACTAGATCATGGAAGCCGTGCTGGCTTCGGTAAATGGTTACTTAATTAGCTGTGTCATTTGGTATTGATTGCCATGCATGGTTAATTCTCATGTATCCTTGTTAAGTATAATGTCAACCAATTTAATCCCCTGGAGGTACTTTCTTCATTCTCCAAACACTTCCTCCCTCCAGATCCTAAATACTAAATTTAAAAAAATGATGTCATGTTTTCTCATGGAACCTTCTTGGCTTTAATATGTATTTACTCACAAGTAAGAGTCTAGGGCCGTGGGCTGTAATACTTCTGCTTGATGTTTGAATGGAGGTGGTGGCTCATGTGCCCAGGCACTGAGAGGTGAGCTTTAGTAGAGATGCTGTCTGTGCCATGTGCTTCAGCGGGGTTTCTTGTCATGCTGCCAGCCCCCACTTGTTCAGTGTAAGCCCTCCTTGGCATAGTTATGAGCTACTGGCCTAACTGATGATTGAGTCCTTTGTTCAATATAGTAAATACAGAACAGACTATAACACTTGGCTACTTCTTAATTGTACTAAATGAATATATACCAATATACTCTGTGCAGATCTGACCTTTGAAAGTCCACTGGTCAGAGAAATGATGAAAAAGGATAACCAGACAAAAACCATGTATCCCCCAAAGAGAATAAAACACAGCTTGGAGCACAAACAGCGTAGCTACGTGGTCTAGAGGCTTGTTCTGAAAGAATACGCACCAGTTGTATGGAAGCTTTCCATCCCTCTCCAAGGACGCAAAATTGACAAAAGTTCCCGCTCCACACTCCCTGTATGTAAGGAATCACAAAATCAAGGTGACTGCTTGATGGAGCACTCTTTTACCATGACATATGAGTCTTTACCAGGTCATCATCATAACATTGCATTTTTAAAAAGCTAAAATAAGTTCTATGGGTTTCTCTTTGCACAAAATGCAAAATAGAAAGATAAAGCAAAATAAAACAATTTTTCACAAGGTCGCACATCCCCACAGCAAGTTGAGGCCAAAAGGTTTCAGTTCACAATCCTTTCCAAAAAGCACTCAGGATCCTAAATAAATCTTTGAACTATTTGGGATTTAATATTTTTTACAAAGTAAGTTATAGCAATTGTTCTAGATAAAATGAAGGCTTTTGTTTGTTTTTAGCAAATATTCTTCATGGGGTTTTGTTCTTAATAGCATATTGATTTCCTCTATAATGAAGGCAGATCAAGATGTATTGTTTTCTTCCACCAAAAATTTCCCCTCATGTTTTGATCCTCATTGTATTCATCACTTGAGATGAGAGTAAAAGAATGATATATATTAAAACAGATAGGCCTGTGCAGAGCCTCTTATCCAGAATGTTGCTTATTAATCTGCCAGCAGAAAATATTGTTAACCTTTTTTCTAGAATTGGAGTAAAAGGGTAAACATATTCTCATGCCTTCTCCATCTTTTGCTTAATATTATGCATAAATAACGTAGCTCACTGGGGCTCATGCATCTCATTTTCCCTCTCCATGAAATTGATGGTCTTATTCAGAATTGAAGCAGAGATTTTGACATTACTGACACAATATGCTAATTCTGCTATCTTCCTGTTCTTATCAGATGTTCTAAGAATAGTTTTCTTCTTTTGAAAAATACATGACTGTATTATATCATACTGTTTTTTGAATTACACATCAATTGACTTTCCTATGTCTATTTCCTATAATATATAGGAATTTATTTACATTTAACTTAGAAGAAATTTTTTTACTCTCCAATTCAAGGATTTTTAAACTGGGGTCCAAGAATGGAATTTAGGGCTCTATGATGATATACTTAGCAGTTCCTTCAATTATTAAAGTAAGTAACAAGTCACAATAATATCATCAGGTACTTGTGAGATTTGCCAACAATAGAAATTGCAGATATTTTTCCATAATGGGGTTTCTGCAGGTGTTGAAATATTATCCATATCACTATGGGAAAATATGAGAATTACTGTACACTTACTCCATATTGTTACCTAATGCATTAATAATGAAACATACAACACATTTGTTCTTTTACATACTTTGATGACCATATTTTAATATAATTAGTTTCTTTTTTAATCTTATGTATTTTATTTTATGCACTTAAAAAGAAAGCATTTTTCTTAGAAGAGAACCACAGTGTCATCAAACTGCCAGTGGATCATGGCACAGAAAAAGTTAAGAAACCTCTGTCCTAAAAACCAGCAGGCTGAAGCAGAACCACTTTTCCTAAATATTTGGCTGTATGCAGCACGGAGGATGCTCCTGAAATAACACCCCCATTAATACCACTACCCCCACTACCACATTCCCACCCCCCCTCTATTGCTATTACCAGCTGGCTTTTGTTGCACACTCCTTATGAGTTGAGTATTATGCTGTGCCATCACTGCATTATTGCCCTCACTATCCACTAAGGTTGGGGTTATTCTCCCCTTCTTTATTTAAAAAATGTAATTTTTATTTATTCCAGAGACGAAGGGGAAGGGAAACAGAGACAGAAACACCAATGACGAGAGAGAATCATTGATCTGAAAACTACTGGGGATCAAACCTGTGACCTCCTGGTTCATAAGTCAATGCTCAACCACTGAGCCTCACCAGCCAGGCAGATATCTCCTTCTTGATATGCCCTAGCCTCCAGGCCATCTCTCTCTTAGTTTTCCTTTCCATCCATTGGATGTCGCGTGTCAGTCTCTTTTGCTGCTACCCATTTTTTTCTCTCCATAAAAATCTTAATATTAGATTATTCTGATGCTTAATCCAGAGATTTCTAATGTTCACTTCCTGGATTTTATCCCATCTACAGCTTTAACACCATTTATATACTAACAACTCCCAAATGTATATCTTCAATCCAGACTTCTCTCCTGAACACCAGACTTTTACACTGTCTCCTTCACACCTGCCCTTGCAGTCATCTCAAACATAACATAACGTTTCCCAAACTGAAGCCCTGATGTTCCCCCTCTGAAACCCTTCCATGTGGAATCCTATCTCAGTTTATGACAATCCCATCCTTTTGGTTGGCAGGGCCAAAAACCTTGGAGTTATTCTTGACTCCATTCGTATCAATCCAACATTCAATTTGTTAGAAAATCCTATTGCCTTTCTTTTCAAAATATGTCTGGAATCTGATCACTTTTCCCTGCCCACCGCTGCTGCTCCTCTGGGTGGATCTACTACTGTCTCGCTATTGCCTGGATTATGGTCAATGCTGCCTCAGTTCTCGGGCCTGCTTTTGTCCTTGCCTTACTACAGCCTGTTTTACATAAAAGTCAAAATGAAAATGTTAAAATGTAAGCCAGGTATTTTTAATCTCCGCTTAAACTTGAATGGCTGCCCATTAACCCAGAGTAAAAGCCGAAGTCCTCACAACTGCTTAGGAAACCCTATATGACATCACTCCTGCTCCTCCTCTATGCATCTCCTCTGCTTTAGCCTCTCTTGACTTCCAGCTAGTCTTTGAATCTGCTAGTCATGCTCCTGCCTCCTCTCTTGGGTGTACTCTTCCCCCAGATACCACATGATTAACCCTCTCAGGTTCAAGTCTTTTCTCACGTGTCACCCTCTCAGTGAGCTCTACCCCGCTCCTGGAGCTCCTGTCGTTATATTCCCCAGACAGGTACCACCAATCTCTCTTACTCTGCTTTGTTATTTTTCTATTACTGTCTGCTAACATACAACCTAATCTTTTAACTTTTACCTTTATTATGTATTGTCTATCTTTTCACTAGAAGACAAGCTGCCTATTTTGTATGCTGTTATATTCCAAGCACCTAGAGGAGTCGGACACAAAGCAGGTGTCCAAAGATACTTGTTGAGTAAATGAATAAAGTTTCCGTGGGCTCCACAGGGACACATTTGTTGTAAATCAAGATGTGACTCTAAGGAGTATGATTTCAGAATTCCATGTTCTAGCCACAGTGCTGTGCCACTACCCTCACTATTAAGAAGATTGATTTTTATATTTTGACTAATCTTGACTTTTCTTTACTTTCATGTTATCCCATTTTTATATCCTTCCTGATACAAGTCAGTTCATACCTTTAAATGTATTTATTTATCTACATCTCTCCAGCTAGGCTCTAAGTTCCTCATGAACAGATTGGATATTTGATGTCTGATTTTTCTTTATGTCATACATTTATTTAAGAATAGGTGAATGATAGAACTCTGAGAAAGAAGGATGTTGATTGATGACAAGTCAGCCAACTAACATTGGACAAATATAAATTTGAATCAAATTTCCTTAACTAGGTAACTGGTTGTGTGTGTGTATGTGTGTGTGTGTGTGTGTGTGTGTGTGTTAAGAGAACTTATCATTGTTTTGATAACATTGGGACCACAGAAAGTTCTTGACAATGTACTCTGATAAGAAATGTATCGGTAGTCAATGGAATAGGGAATCATCAAAATCATAAATCAAAAGGCTCTTCTAACAGCAAGAAAAATGAAACTGCCTGCAACTCTGAATAATATGAACAAAAATGATGGGGGACTTTTAATAGACCTAATCACAAACTCTACAAATAATTTATCATAAGACAGCTTCAACAGAACTAATGAGAAAAGGGATTTTTTTTCTTTCTTGTGATCTCCACATATATTAACTTTTATCAATCATTCTGAGTAGGTATAGATTTTTCTTTTACTCCAAAACAACTTTGAAATTATCCAAATGTAATGTATGGCCACTTAAAATGACAAGATAAGTGGTCTGACTTTGTGTAAACAAACAATCTTTTGCTTTACCATTCCAATGGTAATGTTTTCTAAAATAATATTAAAAGTCTTAGAAAACATGACAATAGTATGATGAAGACTGGGGAGGAGGAAGGGGAAGGGAAGAGGGGAAGAGGGAGTCACTGGGGAGGGGAGAAGAAGGGCCTCGGTAATACTTTCAATAATATGATACATTTAAATAAGAAAACAAGGAATAGAAGTAGACAACTTACTGCTATAAAAACATACATGTATGATAAATAAAATATTGTAAAGGCTGTAGGTAAAAGATTAACCTAACTTTACTTACCTAGCCATCTGCAGATGCTTTCTCCTGAGAATGATCAGTGTGACCAGCAGCAATCCAATCAGCAGGGTGCTAAGAATGGCCAGTACTGAGATGACTACCACATTGGGATTCATCACTGTAACTAAACAGATACACCATACATTCTAGTTACAGCTTCCATTACATGGAAACTAACCGAACTCACTCATGGTTTTCCATCTGATTTTGAGAGCAATGGACTTGTGACAACAGCAACAATGATGTTTCTACAAGCTGACAATAACCTCTTCTGGGTCAACTACAAGTTAGTGGATTGATCAAAAGTATTTCAGGCCTACATTCTGGATGTTCTTACAAAGGGAAATGATAACCTGCAATTCATGTGATATAGTTTAAATTCACTGGAAGTCATTTTCATTCTTTAACTTTTTCAGAAGCTTGCAAACTCTTATTTTATGCACATGATTTTAAAGTCAGAAAGCACCACTGTCTATTTCACTCACAACTAATAATGTATATGAAAAAGGCATTAGTGAGTTGCCATCTGCTACAGCACTTAACACATCGCTAGAAGCAGGCATTCTGATGATCTGTAACCATATGTTGAGAGGTTTTCCATCTGTACAACTCAAGAGATTAAACCTTTTCATAAGCTGTAGGGCCCTTGAGAACAGAGGTTGTGTCCCTTTATATACTTTATATGATGATCGATCTACAATGGCATTACACATGGCCTACCTCATCACACTTCATGGAAAAGTAAGGTATTAAAGGTGGGAATTTATATAAAATGTTTTATAAAACTATTCACAGGGAGCCAGAGAAGACAAGAATGATTCCATTCTCTGTACTGATCATAAAATCACAGAACTGGCTGGCATTACAATTCATAAGTTTCTTCCCATTTGGGACAATGTGGCTCCAGTTCATGGGCAAAGTGCTTGAGCAGAAAGAACAGTAGACTCATGGTCAGAAGAGCTGGTTCAAGTTCACTTGACTACTAATTGCCATTTGAGGAGGCTATTTTATCTGTCTCTCTGGGCCTCATTATCCTCACTAGCAAATAAGTTTAATATTATAATATCAACTGCTTCTGGCTTGTTGTAGAGATGACAAAGAGGAACAATAAGTTACATTTAGAAGAGTGTAAAAGGATGTATTGATATCATATACTTATTAGGTCAATTTTTGTCCTCTCTTCTAAAAAAACAAAAATTTGAAAATCCCAAACAAACAAACCAAAAAAGCCTATACTACTCATCATTGGGTACAGTGGCTAAATATATGACAAATGTTACTGAAATGAAAATGGATCTAGTAAAGGGTAATGTGATAGTAAGAGTAGTTTTATTACAGGCAGTTTCATAGGAGATCTCAGACTGTGGAATCAGACTCTAACAAAGAGGGGAATAAAACGTATAACTCAGAAAAAGAACAAGGATACAGCATTATTCTAGACCTTTCATTATTTTTAAACTTTCCCACTCATAGTGTGTGCTTGATTGGAAATTTTTCTACTCTGACATAGAAATTGAGTTTTGCCATTATTTGACAACTAATGGCCAAAACTTAACTAGGTGAACCAGAGTTGGTTAGGGTACTGTGGCTACCACTGAAGAGGATGATGAAATCCATACCCATGAGCATTTAGACAGCATGTGCCAGGATTTTATGTCCTTTTCCTCTACGCCTCAAAACAGCTCAACAAGTTATATATTATTATTCTAGCTTGACAGATGAATAAACAAAGGTTCAGATATAGGAAATATCTTCCCTAAATCAGTTAGGGATAGAAATTAAGCACTCTCTGACCTTAGAGCTTAGAATTTTTCAATAGAACTAGCATGGGTTCCATGAAAAGAAGATATTATATATAATCTATTTTATTTAAAAAATAAAACATAAAAATTTTTGGAAAGATATAACTTTTAAAGACACCAGATCCCCCTAATGCATGTAGTTACCCATTGTTGAGACGGTTATAAATGTGGGGACACTGGGGCTGTCGTGGCTAAAGCTGGTGACACTACAGTTGTAGGCAGTGGCAGGAAGAAGGCTGGAGATGGTCACAACATGAGAAGAAACAGAAATCGGTTCCTGGAGATGCAGAAAATTAAATAAATGTTATGTAACCTTCATCTATTTTGATTTTTAAAAAGTTTTCATAGTTGAGTTGGTAAGGGAGGGACAGAATAAAAAATGTAAAAGGCAAAGAAGGATAGCAGAGAAAAATAAGTTATAAACAATGCTACAGGGAACATAACTTCACAATTATGAGAACATAAGTATATGTTTGCAAATACACAATGTATGTATATATATTTTTGTATTCATAGCAATTAGATTGCTGGGTCAAAAGCTCTATATTTTTAGTTTTGAAAGGTATTGACAAAGTGTCCTCCATAGACATTTCCAAGTTACCTACCTACTATCAATGTCTGACGGTGCCTGTTGCCCTCTCTGCTTCTAACATAGCATAGTGGCAAACGCTTTGAGCTTTTCCAATCTTATTCGTGGAAACCATAACTTACTGTAATTTCATTCTGCATTTCTTTGAGTTCTCAAAAATATTTAATGTTCACCTATTCTATGCAGAATAAGCTGTTCATTTGGCGAGCCAATAGTCAGACTAGTGACAAATATTACTGCACACTATGAAGAGATGAGCCAGCAAAACAAGGACCTGAAAACTCCTGCCTAAAGAGATGAAAGACATCAGTGCTTATTTCCCACTCCCATCTCTCATCCTATAAAAGAATGCTTCTAAGGAAAGACTTGCTAACAATACTCAGTTGTAGTAAGGAGCAGCCTACCCTTTGTTTTCTTAAAGGAAGATATCACTGCAGTTCTAGAGGAAAGAACCCACTACTGGCAGAGCAGTGGTTTTTAAAAAGGATTCTTAGGATGAAAAAAAAAAAAAAAAGATTCTGCTATCCAGTAAAGATAAAAAAAGAGATAAGTTAGTAGAAGTCAATATCAAAAGGAAAAATATTAAAGCAAATTATCTTAACACTCAGCATGAAAAGATTAATACTCCCAGAAACCTTTTTTCTCTCAATCCAAAGAACTTCATTACTTAAAAAGCATCAGTTATTCACTGTATTTAATGATATTTCTCACACTTTCCATTTTCCTTCCATGTCTAACTGTAAAATATATTTGAGCTGTCAGACAACTGAGTGTTCAAAATATTTGCTGTGATTCTAAAGCTTTAACAATCACCTCACCTAGCCTACATTTTGCCAAACAAAATTTTCTTCCTTTCTTATTAACTAGAGATGGACCCTTATTTCCATTTTTTTGTAGTAATATGCATCTCTCTTGTGGCACTTGTTTTAATTTCATTATTTATAGAATAATGAACTATCCACAACTGTATGGATAAAAATTTTGAAGTCAGTTATTACTTCTGCCATTTGTGTTCCATACAGTGACCTTCACAAAATTGGAATCAGCTCATGTTTGGTAAATTATGTTTTCCATGGCAAAATTTCATCCTCTCAATGGATTTAATGTCCAAAGGGAAAAGTGAACCCCCTTAATCCTTCGGTATGAACCAGAGGGACTGAGGTTTAGGGACAAAAGAGAAATTTAAAGGTGAAAATAAACTCGGCAATTTGGCAACTTGGTTCTCACAACATACTTTGGGCTTGTTCTGAGCATATTGTTAATTTTTCTCACTGAAACACAAAAGCATAAATGAAGTGTTTTCATTTTCTATTGGTCAAAGAAAGCAAAGATTTTCATTTTGCTCAGCTAATTAGCTTAATCAAAGGTAACTCGGAGAAGGAAGATGGGTGTGTACGGTACCTGCAGTTTTGTTTCCTGACCAGAGCCAACTTGTTGACAGAAGACTTCGAAGAAGTCAGCTACCCCCTCTTCCACCCACAGCAGCGTCACCGAAGTTTGGGTTTTATTCACCGCAAAGAGTGACTTCGGAGGAGCTGGTTCTGAGCAAAGAAAAAGTTTAAAAATGTTTAATTAAATTTAACATATTCTTTCTTCTTTCACCGATCAGCAAGATAAAATAGCCACACACAAAAATCCAAATATAGGTAGGTAGGAGCACTGCGAAGGTTTTATATTTCTTTTGAAATATATCCTTTCACCAAGACAGTCATCTAGTTGCTTTTCCCCCCTCCTATTTTATACTTCTCTTTTTGGAACAGTTCTGTTTCCCACTTCAGGTTTATTACCCACACCGTCTATTAATAGTTTTTATGTCATCTACACCGGAGTTCGCATGGCCCTGATAATCCAGAGCTTTATGGATAAGAAACAAGAACCTAAATTTAAAAGACTGAGAAAATGAAAATAATGTGTGTGTTCACTGTTAAGGAAAAGATTCAGTCTGGTGGTTAGCCAACAACTTGCCTTCCTTTCTCTTGAGACTATTTAAAATAATTTAGTTAGGAATGATTTCTTGAAATGATAATCAATATTAAAAAGGGTAAAGCTAACTAGATAATAAGATTTCTTGGTTAAAGAAAAAGATTGATGAAATAGAAACAGACTCACAGCTTCAGAGAACAGACTGATTGCCAGAGGGGAGGCGGGCTGGGAGACTGGGTGAAAAAGGTGAAGGGATTGAGAAATACAGATTGGTAGTTACAAAAGTGTCATGGGAATGCAAAGTACAGTATAGGAAATATAATCAATAATATTGTAATAACTATGTATGGTGCCATATGGGAACTGGAAATAACAGTGGGGAATACATTTTCAAGTACATGATGGTTTAACCACTATGCTATACACCTGAAACTAATATAAAATAATATTAAATGCAAAAAATAATTGAAAAAAATTTAAAAAAGAAAAATACTGATGGAAAGGGACTAGGTAGTTAATAAAATGTTAGTGAACTGATTTATTTTATTCTTTTAGAGATTTTATCATCATCAATAAATTAATTCATTAGTTATGTAAGCTGTGCTGTCCAGGCCCCTTCATGCTCATTTTTAGTAATTGAATCATGGAATTTGTTGGCTTGAGACCAACCCCTGCCTGTTTCCCAGTTCTAGGAAGTGGTTTGCCATCATGTTCCCCATTTCCTGAATCTCTGCTGAACCCCTCCCTGCGCTGCTGTCCTTGGGGCATTGCCTTTTCTTGGATGACGTCCTGCATACAAGGAGCTATGTCTGAACCCAACTTCTTAAATCAGGATCCTGTGACCTGCTGTCAGACTGCCTTGACGTTGGTTGTTTGGACATATCGTATCTTGCTGTTGGGTTTACATAACAGCATTCTCTGCCCACCTGAGTGTCCCTGTCAGACAACTGCTACCACTGTTTGCTTGGATTTCCTTTTATTATCAGCCCCACTCTCCTAAGTCAGTCTCCAGTTCTTAGGTTTTAGAAGAGCTTGACAAATCCCTAGAAGCCTTTTCACTCATTGGACAAGTGTATGTCTTTGTGTGGGAAGGTTTACACTTTCTTTGTAGACTATCATCATCGTGGTCCTGTCCAGAACTCAAGAAGTATTTCAGAATCACTCTTAATATGATCTATTGTGGGTAACCTAAATTTGTATCCAACTAAAAAGAAGTCTTTATTCTATCCAGAGTCAGCTTGACAAGGGTAGGAAGAAGAGTTGAAGGAGGAAAGAGATGAGTTAGTCTTGGAAAAGAATAATTTACAATAGATGTCAGGACCCCTTTCTCATTTGCAAGGAATTCCTACTCTTCCAGACATTGTATTGTCTCACTTTCCTTCTGATGAAGATTGTTGATAAAACACAGAGATCAACTTAGAGTTCCCACACTGCTAATAGGGCTAAGAGTCAGGGAATAAATCCTCCAGTGATTCTGACTTGGGTAGAACTTGGACCTTTGAAAGCAAGTGTGAGGCTGTCTGGGGTTAGGTATGAATTATTTGTTAAGCTGGGCCTGGGTTATTTCTCTTGAAAAATTATACACCACTAACTGCTCCTCAGAGTGTATCTATTGGACAATGATTAGAATCCCTAGAACACCTCTCTATACATTTTTCTTATCCTATATTATAAAGATGTAGTATGTAAATTGACCCCATGCCCTCACTCAAGATGGCTGCTCCCATGCGGTCAAAGATGGATGTCACAAGATGGCTGGCAGGGGAGGGTAGTTGTGGGTGATCAGGCCAGCAGGGGAGGGCAGTTAGGAGTGACCAGGCCAGCAGGTGAGGGCAGGTGGGGGCAACCAGGTCGTCAGGGGAGGGCAGTTGAGGGTGTTTGGGCAAGCAGGGAAACAGTTAGGCATCAATAAGGCTGGCAGGGGAGTAGTTAGGGGGTTATCAGGCTGGCAGGCAGGCAGGCAAGTGGTTGGGAGCCAGCAGTCCTGGATTGTAAGAGGGATGTCCCCTAAGAGGTTCCAGATGGGAGAGGGTGCAGGCTGGGCTGAGGGACACCCCCTCTGTGCATGAATTTTGTGCACTGGGCCTCTAGTAGGTAGATAAAATTAGTTTAGTTATCCAATAGGAACATTGCCCGAATCCTTACTAATATTCAGATCTGCCTTTTTTACACATGTATTTCTAATCTGTGCTTACTCAAATATCTCACTATTACCTCAAACTCCACATGATCAAAATGGAACCTGGAGTCCTCACCTTCTCACAAATCAATTCTAATTTCCAATTACTCCTGATTCTCTCAGGAGTACCACCATTCATTCAATCATGTAAGACAACTATATTGAGGCTCTCCTGCTGCTCCATGCCAGACAGCATATCTTTTAATAATTATTGTCATTTAATCCCTTTATCTATTCTTTTCATTATGCTGCAGGCTTTGTCATCACACATATCAGTCATTACAGTAGTCCTTAACTCCTTTTCCTTGTCTCAAGTTGGCCTTTTCTTCATTTGTCAATAATGGCTTAAGTCATTTTAAAACTCCACTTTGCTCATGATAAATTCTACCTGCACCATGATCAATTGTGATCAATATCTATTGTGTCAAATCCAAATAGGTCAAGTATTTTGGCAGCCCTAGCAAACAAATTAATACAGTTTCTTATTGTTCAAAATATCAAATAGAGCCTAGCTCATAAAGGAGAAGAATAGGCATACTTTGTTCATGTTATGAAGAGTGAGATTTTAGATAATATATACAAAAACACTTTATATAATATAAAGAGTCATGTAGATATTAGTTATAGAACATCTGATTACCATTTCCTATATCTATAAATCACATCTTAAATATTAACTTATTCAAAATTGCCCTGCTCTATGACACCAGCTTTCCTTTTGGTTAAAATAATTTCAGAGTCTATGATATTGGATGTGAGAATTTATGGGTAATAAAAACTATTTTTACAAACTGGGGTATAGATACAGGGTTGTTTGCTTTTCAATACTCTCTGAAAGCTTTTTAACATTGCTAGTGTTGCAATGAACAATTTGTCCCTCCCCCTTTCCTTCTCTTCCTTCTTTGTCAATGCTTCTCCTATATGAGTTGGGAATCCAAACTAATTTTATAAAGGGATCAAATCCAATGCACAGACCATGGGCAGAATGGAAAGCTGTAAAGCTACCTTTACCATTTAATTTAGATTGGATTAGGAGAGGCTCAAGCTGTTGCCCAGGATCTCTGGAAAGTGAAGGTGACCTCCAGTGAAGTACAAGCTAGTGTCTAATTCTTATTCTCAGCTCTGGCAGGAAATCTCTTATTTCCTAGAGAATTCTAAAGGGAGCCAGGTGTAATATTTAGCCTTGGAGCAGAGTAGAATGCATTTATTGTCTAAAATCCATCTTTCTCTGACAGTTTATTACATTGTTTCTTATTTTAATGCGACCCATTTGTTTAGCTGCTGATAGGGTGATGTTAATGAAGTCAAGATTATATCCATAAGGGCCAACTAGATTCATTCTGCTTACATTTCATACTTCTAAACAGGATGAGTCATTTTACAAATGGCAGAGCATTGGTGATAAGGGAAATTCAATAGAAAAACATCCTAAAAAATGATCAGTAGTGGCAAAATCTATTTTCAACCCCCAGGCTCACTAATAGCAAGTTGCTGATATCCCAGTATACAAAGGATAGTATTTAATAGCTTTATCATATGTCTTTAAAATCTATTTTTATTTTCTTCAACCCAGGCAGCTCTACCTTAAACAGAATATGTTATATAAACTTGGCCAGAAAAAAGCATCTGTGACTTAAGATATAAATTGCATAAATTATGTTCAACGTAGTCAAAACATCTGGAAAAGAAGACACTAATTGAAAGAAGAAAAAAAGAGATAGATAAATTATCGACAGTGAATTAAGATAGACTGTAATAAATCAAGAAGAAGAAAATCATATTAAAAAGCAAGAAACTTTTGTTAAACTAAAATTTGTTAGCCAATTCTTTTGTTGACTTTGGGTGAGACTCTTCCTAGATATATTTAATAATTAGACCATTTAAAGACCACATTGGAATTTTTTTTTTAATTCAGGCAAATATTTAGCATTAAACTATAATTAGGCCTTATTCATAAACAAAACGAAATTTTCATTTGCTCAGGAATTAGAAATACCTGTTATTTCCATTACATTTAAAATAAATTCTTTATGGCTAATAGCAAATGCAATATTCCCTTCTGTGAATCATCTGGTGTGTTTATGGTTTTACTGGCTTATGTAAATTAAGATTGTTAGATTTTTTTTTTTTTTTGAGAAAGCTATCATTTAACTTTACTGTTTCAAATCAAAATTTCTGACTTCCTCTTTTTTTGGTTTCAGGGGTATGTGCTTATACTTAGCCTTTTTATTTAGTTAGGAGTTACATATTGCACAATTCTTAGGACAAAATCATTGCTCTTAAGTATCATTAACCTTGCACGAACTCATGCACGAATTACATTCTAAAACTTGAAGGAACATTAAAGAACAGTTAGTCTAGACACTCATTTTATAGATGAGGCAACTGAACTCCAGAGGGCCTGAGCCACTTTTCTAAGGAAACACAATTTATCCCTGA